AGAAGTTAGGTTACTCTCCAAGCTCCCCCAGGTGTAGTTCTGAACACGGGACCAATTCCAGAGCCAGGGTTCTTCTCCCTGTGCCATGGCAGCCTCTCTAAGGATCACAAAGGCAGGAACTAAAATGGAGCTGGGCACGGCTCAGGCAATTTCTTAGAAATTTTGTCCTCAGGGCTGATCACTGGGGGTCCAGCTGCCGTGCTTATGACGGAAAGGTGCCCCAAGTCTGCAGGTACTTCCATCGGGGCTTCTGCTTCCACCAAGATCGATGCAGGTAAGTGTGAGGGGCTGGGGGCAGGGATGCTGGAAGAACTACCTTTTGTGGACTGTGTCCTCCCTGAGTCTCCTCTACTCAGCCTCCAGGCTGAGCTAGCTCTGAGCCCTAGAGGGCTATCCCTGTCTCTTCACTCTCTTCCCCATACAGCTATCAGCACCTGAGGACCCCCGTGCCCCCAGAATGGGGCCACCACCATCCAGAGTCACATGTCACTCTTCTGGAGCCCCAGCTGGGACTGACCCACAGGGGTTTGGAGCCCACCTACCTGCCCTCCAATGCTATGGCCATAGGCTGGGCCTGGCCTCATCCCCACTGGAACATGGGGCCTGATCTGTGGGAGGTTGGTGGCAGTTCCTGGAAACCTCTGTCTCCATCACGTGAGTCATCAAGGGATGCAACTTTTTAAAATTTCAAATTTTAAGCTAATATATCTTTTAATGTTTAACCTGTAGATTTGAGGTGTCCCTCAAAAGCTCATGTGTGAGAAAATGAGAGAATTTTCAGAGATGAGAAGATTATGAGAACTTTAACCTAATCAGTGGATTAATCCACTGATATGGATTAACTGAGCATTAACTCTAGACAGAGAGGGTGTGACTAGGGGAGGTAGGTCACTGGGGGGTATATGCCTTTGGGTTTATATTTTGTCCCTGGTGAATAGAGCTTTTTCTCTGCTTCCTGGCTCTAATGTTCTGAGATACTTTCCTCCCCACACCCTTCTACCATGATGTTCTGCCTCACCTTGAGCCCAGATCTATGGAGTTGGCTGATGAACCAAAAAAAGCTTTTCCTTCTCTGTATTGGTCTCATCAGGTCTTTTGGTAGCAACGATGAAAAAGCTAATTAAAACATTCTCAAAGCATATATCCAGTGCTATCAATATTATTCATTATGCAATGAATGTTAAGCATTGTTAGTGCTGGGTGCGGTGGTGCACACCTGTATTTTCAGCTACTAGTGAAGCTGAGCAGGAGGATCTGAAGTCCCAGGCCAGCCTAGGCAGCTTAGCAAGACTCTGATCACAATAAAAAGAGCTGGGGATGTAGCTCCGTGGTAGAGTGTGCCTGGGTTTGATCCCCAGTATCTTAAAATAAGATTAGGACTGGACTCTGAACTACACGGGGCAGGGTTTGGGGCCAGCTCTGAACCCTGCGTGCTACATCAGTGGGTGAATGATGCGCTTTTCCCGACAGCTGCTGGCGGGCATCTCGGCCACTCCCAGGAGTCTCCGCCAGAGTCCCACCCTTTCCTGGAGCTGACAGCCCCACTTCAGAGCCTGGACCTTGAGGAGTGGCAGGTAGCAGGGAAGGGGTGGCAGAGGCTGGCTGCTGCTGCACCTCTGGGGATGCCCCGACCTTCTGGGGGAGGGGACTGGAGAAGGCTCTGGGGCTGTTTGGGGGGTAGGAGTGGGCAAGTGTTTCACCCCATTTGTGGTTGCAGGGAAAGCAGGACAGTCGGGATGTGGTGTGTGGCATCTGTATGGAGAAAGTGTGGGACAAGCCGGAAGCTGAGCGTGTGTTTGGCATCCTGCCCAACTGTACCCACGCTCACTGCCTGGGCTGCCTCCGTACCTGGCGGAAGAACCGTCGGAACCTTCCGCTGAATGTCATCAAGTCAGTATCATTCAGGTGCCGGCAGGGAGGGAGGGAAATGCCCACAGAGACATGGACCAGGAGGCCAGTCTGTGGGCTTGCGCCCGCCCCCCGCATTCAACCCCCACCTATCCCATGCAGGGCCTGTCCCCAGTGCCGAGTTCATTCCAGCTACATGATTCCCCACAAGTTCTGGGTGGGCGAAGGGCCCGAGAAGGAGCAGCTCATCAGGAATTTCAAGGCTTGGACCAGGTGAGGCAGGCGGGGTGGGGAGGAAGGAGGTGGCTCCCAGCCTGGGATCCTCAAACACTGGAAGATCAGGCTGTGACCAGTTTTTATAATTTTAGCAAGTCTGTTCAATAACAGGGTCTGAGATGGCAGCAGGAGTGGGCAGGGTTAATTTTCTATCTCTTTCTATTTATCTATCCGTCTATTTATTTATTTTGAAGTACTGGGGATTGAACCCAAGGGTATTCTACCACTAAGCTACATCCCCAGTCTTTTTTTTTTTTTTTTGGTCAGCATCTTGCTAAGTTGCAGGTCTTGAACTTGTGATCCTCCTGTCTCAAGCTTCCTGAGTAGCTGGGATTACAGATGTGTGCCACGATGCCTAGCTATTTTCAATGTGTTTTTTTTTTAAGACAGGAAAATACATTGATATGAATGTATGTTGTTTGCTTTGATGATCTTTGAAAATATGGGGTCGCTGACAAGGGTGAAGGGCAGCCCTTGAAAATGAAAATTAGGTACCCTTTAAGATACTTCACTGCCACCTGCTGGAAGAGAGTGGAAGAAGTGTAAAATCTACACTGGTACTCGGTACCTGCTTAGATGGGATGCTTTTGTGCTGGGTAAAACCTGCCCAACCTTGTGTCAGTCTAGAGAGCTCCTTGTTCCTAAAACAACAAAGCTTGGAGGTGATGGTCTTTATCTACCTCTACCTTGTCACAGCCAGATCCCCTGCCGGTTCTTCATGCGGGGGAGAGGCCGCTGCCCCTTCAAATCTGACTGCATCTACCTGCACCAGCTTCCAGCTAAGACCCCGGTCTCTGGTCCTCCTTGGCCTGACAGTGTTCAACTGGTCTCTGGGAGTAAGGTGATAACAGTAGGGACATGGGATCAGGGAGGCTCCTGGTCATGGTGTATAATTAATGTCCATGGCAACTGTAAACCTCTGTGTGATGTCTGTGGTGTGGATGGTGCCTGTGCTTACACCACTGTGCTGTGTCCAACCTGCCCAGCTCACACGTGAGCCTTGAGCTCCCTGTTTCCAGGACAATCGGGTTGAAGCTGATGGGTTTTCAATAATTTTTCTCTCTAGTTCCAGGTACTGGGCCCAGCACTGTTCTTAGGGGGCCACCAAGCAAGAAGAGGATATGTTCTTCACAGACTGTGCCCTGGCTCTGGCTCTCTGAGGTTCAGAACTCCTGCTAGGTCTCAACTGTTCTCTATGGCCTGCTGCACCAGGATCGGCTGGAGGAGATGGGACGAGGGGAAGGGCTGGTGGTTCTTTCCCCTGTGGGGTTTAGTGGTAGGCAAAAGTAGCCAACCCTTTACCCCTGTGAACTACAGCAGTGACACAACTGGGGGACACAGGAATGGAGGATGGCTTCTGGGGTGAGAAAGGATTCTCACCTGCTTGTCAGTGTCTTGGCTTTTAACTTTGCTTTTTTGTAGGATTTTAGAAGAAAACTAATAAAATGTACCTAAGCTGTCACTGTGCATCTGAAGAATGATTTGCTTATAGCCCAGCCCCACCCCCAAGGGGAGTAGGGTTACTCTTTCATTCAATTTGTTATACTTTCACCTGTCACTTAGCTTCTGGAAATCTCTGCTGTACACACATAAGAGGAAGCAAATGAGAAAGGCAAATAACATCATGAAACTGTTATGACCTCCCAGGGCCCTTGAACTGTGTTTAGAATTTCCCCCCATTTTCCTTCCAGTTGGCTAGATGCAGATCTTGGTGCGGGAGCTGTAGAGTAGGGAGTGAGATTATAGTTGAGGCTGGCAGGCGTTCCTGGTTCTTCATGACTCACATCTTGATTACCCTACTTAAAAGTACCTCACCCTGATTCCCTTCTGTGCTGTCCCCCACCCCTCTAGTACTGGGGATTGAACCTGTGGTGTTCTACCAGTGAGCTACACCTCCAGTTCTTTTATTTTTTATTTTGAGATGGTCTTTCTAAATTATTGTGGCTGGCTTTGAACTTGCCCATCTCCTCCTGTCTCAGCCTCCCAGAGTCACGGGGATTATAGGTGCACACCACTGCATCTGGCTTCTTGAAAGTTCTATATCACAAACATTCTATTGCTTGCTTATTTAGCTTTTTCTCTTCACTTGTATGTCAGTGATGAAGGCAATGACCTGTGTTTAGTCCCCTGTATTCCCAGTTCCTAGGTGCTCAGTAAACACTTTTTTTTTTTAAGTATTTTGTTTTAGTTGGGAAACACTACCTTTATTTTTATGTGGTGCTGAGGATGGAACCCAGCGCCTGGCATGTGCTAGGCGAGCGCTCTGTTGAGCCACAACCCCAGCCCCTAGTAAACACTTACTGAATGAATGGATCTGTGTGGCACCAGAGCTGGGGGGAGGGATAGTACAAGTTGGCTCCCAAAGTGGAGATTTATGGGCCACTGAGGGCTGGCTCTTCCTACTCCTAGAGTTCAGTGATCTCTTGTATCCTCTAAGTGGAAGGTGGCACCACTCCTGGCACCTATAGACAATCAGGGCAAGACTGCTACTTGGTCTTTGAAAGATTCACAAAATAATTGTAGATGACTGAAACACCAAACGGGGCAGCATTTGACTTGGTTGAAATTAAATGGCAGGGTAAATACCATAAATTTCCCTTTTCCTTTTTGCGGTACTGGGGAGTCTAACCCTGAACTACAGCCCCAGCCCTCGGGCCTTTATTCTGCCCCACCGCTTCTGCGGGTGACTGTGGAAGATGCTTAGGGTCAGCCCCGGAGGATCCGCCCCTCCACTAAGCCCCGCCCCATTGAGATCGCGCTCCGCCCGCGGACACGCCCCGTCATTGGCGCCACACCTACTCTCCGGCCTGGCAATTTGGACCCGCCTCTTCCTGTCTGCACTCGCGCCCCGCCTCCCACCCTGGCCCCGCCTCGTCTCCCGCTACTCAGCGCGGGAACAGCTCGGGTTTGAGACGCCGTCTGTGTAGCGTCCCGCGCTGGAGGAGGCGCTGTCACGTCTGGGCCAGCCTCGAAACTGAGGCCTTAATTAGGGCGGGGGAGTAGAGTGGCGCGGCACCTGCGCCCGGGATGGCGACCCTGGGGACTGGGGATGAAGGATCCRCACCTTGGGCGTCCTTGGAAGCACCCGCCCGCCTCCTGCTGCAGGCACTGCAGGCCGGGCCGGAGGGGGCGCGGCGCGGCCTCGGGGTGCTGCGGACGCTGGGTCGCCGCGGTGGGGAGCCCTTCGACTGGGGCCGCTTCCTGGAGGCTCTGTGCCAAGAGGAGCCAGTCCTTTGGGGACCCGACGCCCGCCTGGAGCTGTAAGTCCTCGGCTTACTGCCCCGCCGCAGTCACCAGAGGTCCGACAGTCGCTTCCTCTCTGTTACTGAGGAGGGGACTGAGCTCAGAGGTTAAATCACTGCCCACCGCGAGGGGCGCGCTACCGCGCAGCCTGGGAGGAGTGGCACTCCTCACTGGGCACCTACTGTGTGCCGGGCAGTGCTGGACACTGTGGATACTAAGACACCCCTTCTGTTGGGCGTATATAAATGAGTATAAGTAGAGTTAAATAGATTTTGATTGTATACTTTCATTTCTAAGAAGAATAGAATGTACACCTTCACTATATGTATCTTATAAAATAAACCGAAATAGAGTTTTTTTTAAAAAATGTATCTACTGGGGATTGAATTCACCAGCGTTTAGCCCCTGAGCTACATTCTCAGTTCTTCTTTCTTTCTTTTTTTATTTGTTTATGTTGTTTGAGACAGGGTCTCATTAAGTTGCCAGGGCAGGCCTCGAACTTGTGATCCTACTGCCTCAGCCTCCGAGTAGCTGGGATTACAGGCAGAAATAGTTATTTAAAACAGATGTGATAAGTGATGGAATAAACATCTGCTAATTTTGGTGGCTTTCTACTCGTTTTTTTCAAAGTGATATACACTTTCAGGCAAGAAAGAACATTTTCTTTGAGAATAGTAACTACAAATCTATATTTTGGTGTTCTTGATAATTTCCAGTTTTTTGAATGATTTTGGACTTTTTCATACCCTCTTTTCATGGCTGACAAGGAATTCCTACTAGGAGTTTCTAGTGTTGCATGGCCGTTTTCTTATTTGATTGTGCTTCCTTTACTGGCCTCATTCTTGGTCTTTAGTTTCTTTGCAGGCATCCTATCCTTTTAAGCCACCTGTCCATTGTGTGAAGATTCATGTTAAAAAAAGATAATACAGATCTTAACTGCACTTAAGTAGCATAGTTAACTTTTTTTTTTAAAAAAAGAGGGGGGGGGCAGAGAGAGATAGAGAATTTTAACATTTATTTATTTTTCTTAGTTCTCGGCGGACACAACATCTTCGTTTTTTTTTTTTTGTATGTGGTGGTGAGGATCGAACCCGGGCCGCACGCACGCTAGGCGAGTGCGCTACCGCTTGAGCCACATCCCCAGCCCCTAGCATAGTTAACTCAAACACATGGAAAATGCAGAGTGAGGTGCCAACCCATCTTCAGCTCCAGTGGTACAGGTCTTCCTCCCTTCTTGGGCCAGGTTCCCCAAAGTTGGCCTGGAAACTGGTATACGGAGAGCAAACTATATGTTAAATTTTTGTACTGTGTAATTTTTTGTGTTTTAGATAAGTAGGTAGAAGTTCTATATAGCCTTCCCATACTTTTTGAACTTTTTTTTTCTTTTGTAATACTAGAGATTGGACCCAGTGGTGCTCTACCTCTGAGCTATATCCCTAACCCTTCTTGGTTTTTATTTTTTTTAATTTGAAACAAGGTCTCATTTAGTTGCTGAGTCTGGCCTAGGACTTGGAATCCTCCTGCCTCAGCCTCTGCAGTTGTTGGGATTACAGATGTGCTGAATTTCATGGAAGAGATGGGTTAGGATAACTTGTCTGAATCCCTAAATTGAAAAGTATACTAATGTTTGTCCAGTTCTCTGCCTTTTTAATGGATACAGTAAGGGAGGGCAAGAGGCTTAACCTAGGGCCCATGGATAGAACTGTATTTCAATACACTTAATTTCCTTTGTAATCCTAGGTATTTTGTTTAAAGTATTTAACCCTCATTCAGAGAAGGGGCTCATGGCACTAAACAAGATGCCATGGATCCCTTGGCACCACAGACCCTTGGAGTAGGGTCTTCCATATCTCTCTACTCCCAAGAATAATCCTGGCATAAGTTAATCATCTTTTCTCTCTCTCTCTCTCTCTCTCTCTCTCTCGCTCACTCTCTTTCGTTTTTTCTGTAGTTCTCTCTTTCCCTTTTTTTGGCACCAGGGATTCAATCCGGGGGCTCTTCACCACTGACCCATATCTCCAGCCCTTTTTATTTTTTGATGCAAGGTTTTGCTAAGTTGCTGAAGGTGGCCTTGAACTTGTGATCTTCCTGCCTCAGCCTCTCAAGCTGCTGGGATTACAGGCATGTGCCATTATGCCTTGCCACATTGAATCTTCCACAAAGAAGTGAAAGTTTACTTTTTTTCCCTCCTTCCTCTCATGCCAAGAACCTCTGTATGATATGACATAAAGCCCTGCAAAGTCTCACAGAGGGAGCAGCTCAGGCATGATAGGGGGTAGGCTAGATGCAGCCATGACTTGTTTGCCACATCAAGCCTCAAGTCACACAGGGTCTGGATTTGTGCCTCTGCAAAATTACAGACCGCCGCATTGCATTATGGGCCTTTAGGGCATGGGAGGATAGTGTTTAAATCAGAGAATGCTGATGCTTGCAGGAAGTTTTCCTTCTGCCCTTACACCAGGGTTCCAAAAGAAAAGGCTCCCACCCTGCTCTCCCCCATTGCCTCTGTGAATACTGTTTGGAAACTAAAGTTGTAATGAAGTTTATTATCTGATGGTTCCTTCTGTTTGAAGTCTCACTTCCTCTGTGAAGCCTTCTCTGTTGGAAGCAGCCCTTGCCTATCTCTGCACCCTGATTCTCAGAGAGTTAATTCATTCAATCAATGTTCACCTAGGCAATACTGGTTCCCAGAGGAAGGAGACTCTGCCTTTGGTTTTCAGTAATTCACAGTTTTGTGGCAGGAACAAGGGAGATAGTGGGATGAGTAACCCTGACCGTTCCAGGGGATTGCCAGGTGGGGCTTCAGGACAGCTTACACAGCATCCTGGAGTGTTGTTTTGGAGTATTGTTTTGACCTAAAATATGGAAATAGACTTTTTTCTTTGTTATACAAAACAAACCTGGGGCTGGGTATGTGGCTCAGTGATAGAGCACTTGCCTGGCATGCATGAGGCCCTGGGTTCCATCCCCAGCACCACAGAACAACAGCAGCAACAAGAAGCAGCATGAATCTTTTTTTGTTGTTATTGTTTTAGTTGTCAATGGACCTTTATTTTACTTATTTATATKCGGTGCTGAGAATCAAACCCAGTACCTCACACATGCTAGGCAAGCACTCTACTACTGAGCTACAACCCCAGCCCAGAAGCATRAATCTTACAGAATAAGTTCCAACATTAATTTCTTAGTTGAAATAGGAGATATCCAAGAGGTTAAGAGCAGGGCCTGGTGTATAGTAGATGCTCAGTGAACACTTGCCAATGACTCATGCTGTCCTCTCTCCATCCACACCAACTCTTGCAGGTGCTGYTGTCTGTCTCCCATCTGTCCTCTGCTATTGTGCCCCCAGCCTGCCCTAATCTGCCTCCAGCAAGACACTCTGACTGCTTGCTCTCCCTCTGCTACCCAGGAAACCACTGTTGCTGCGATTGCCCACATTATGCCGGAGGAACCTGATGTCCCTGCTGATGGCTGTTCGGCCGTCACTGCCTGAAAGCAGGCTCCACTCTCTGCTGCAKATTGCCCAACAGGACTCAGTCTCTGCTCCCGATGCCTGGCTCCGATCCCTGGGAACACTGCTACAAAGGGATCTGGGGATTGGAGTGTCTCTTGAGGGAGCCTCTCCATTGTCCGAAGGGTGCCAGAGACGGCTCCAAGGCCTGTGTAGGCAGCTGGGCCAGGGGGGCAGGAGGTTGAAATTGCCCCAGGCTGCAGACCCTGAAGGGGAACAGGAGGAGGAGGAGGAYAGGAACTCACAGCATCGTGGGAAACGCAGAAAGGAGCCAGAGGAAGAGCCTGCCAGTCCTGAGGGGGAGAGGGCCCCCAAAAGATCCCGGGATTGGGAGGGGGAAGAAGATCACAAGGATGAGAGTCTTGAACACGAGTCATTGGAATCCCTGGGTGATGGAGGAGCCACATCAACTACTAAGAACCAGCTGGATGTGGGAGCTGAGACCAGTGAGGCTGGCCTAAGTCTGGAGGAAGCCAAGGGTCTTGCTACAAGCATGAAGTTGCCCAAAGCTGTCCAGGTACTGTGGTGGGGAGGCAGGGTTTATCCATGCTGGTTGGGACGCTGTTTCACAACTGGGATCCATGGAGCAGGGGGATGGAGGCCTKCGAGGAAGGAGTCCCCCCTGCCCAGCCTTATGGAGAGGGTTAAGGAGGGAGTTATAGAGGTGGGAAACACTTCTAACCATCTGTAACATGGAGTTGTTAAAGGGTGCCAGGCAAGGCAAGAGACTCTGGGGCCACCCTGTCACCCGTCCTAGGGGTTAAGGGGAATCATACCTGCCCTACCAGCCAGGACCGGGTTTACTTCATTAGTGTTGGATGGAGAGAAAATAAGTCTGGACAACTGGATTTTACATGGACCTTATCTGGTTTGGATTCTTAGAACTTTGCAAGATAGAGGCTTCATGTTCTTAGCTCTCTTGACTCATCTTTGTCCACTAGCTCCCACTTAACAGGCTCCCCCCCCCGCCCCCCCGCCGACGCCAGTACCAGTGATTGACCCCAGTGCTGCTTTACCACTGAGTTACATTCCCAGTCCTTTTTTATTTTTTGTTTTGAGAACAGAGTCTTGCTAAGTTACTGATGGTCTCACTGAATTGCTCAGGCTGACCTCAGACTTGCAATCCTGCCTCAGCCTCTTGAGTTGCTGGGATTATGGGCATACACTACAGTGCCCCGCTGACCAGGGGCAGGGAGCTGAGCTGGGTAGTGACTGAACTCTCCTCTGCAGGACCAGGTGCCCAGGCTGCAGCAGCTGCTGAAGACCTTCAGGGAGGTGATTGACCCTACCCTACTCACCGTAGCYCTTCTTCCACCTCTGCCCAGACCTCAGCCATGCCCTGGGAAGCCCCAGCCCATTGAGGATCAGGCTGGTGGGGGGTGGGGTTGGAGGGAAGGTCTGAGGACGGTCACTGCTGAGGCTCGTCTTGGCCCGAGAATAGACAGGCCATCACCAATTGAAGGGGTGGCCTCAGTGAATTGTCATCAAGGACTCTGCCAGCCCTGACGGGATTTACCTCCCCAGGGAATGGAGCGGTTGGAGGCTGCCCCACCAAGTGAGCTGCAACTTTTCCATGAGTGTAGTTCCAGCCAGGTGAGGCCAGAAAGACTGTTTGTCCCTGAGTTTATGGCCACTCCCCCTACCTTTTTCCTCTTTAACTTTTGTTTCCTTACCTCCTACGGGAATCTTGCCCTCTTCTGTCTCTTGGGTAGAGTCACCCTGAGTGCTTTTCTGAGCCCTCGATTCCTTCCCATAGGCCAGTTCGCCCACCCTTAATTTGTCCTGGAGCTTCCTTGCTCTGCCTCTTTGATTGCCCACTTGGCTTGTGTCAGCCTAGCAGAGTTAGACTGAGCATTCCCGTGTGTCCCTTGTCCTTGGGCAGATGGAGCTGCTGTGTGACCAGCTGCAGCTCCCCCAGCTCTCAGCAGCAGGCCTCCTGCAGCTCTGCACCTGGCTGCTGGCCCTGTCCCCAGATCTCAGCTTCAGCAGTGCCACTGTGCTGACCAGGAGCCTCTTTCTTGAACGGGTAGGTTCACTGGTAGCCCCCAGGACAATGGGGAGAATGTCTGAGCCCTTGGAAGAGGATTGCACGGGAGAGGGTGTTCCTGGCCATGCAGGCGCCTGGTCTTGCTGGGCAGCTTGGGGCCCTGCTCAATAGGCTGGGTGTGGGTCTCCTGACATCTAACTTCCTTCTAGGGCCTCAGAATTCTTTCAGAAGCTGATTGAGGGGATTTGGGGGTTGGGGAGGGAAGCTATGTGTCTTTCCACTGAATAGGTCCCCTGAGCCCTAGATAAAAGATCTTGTAATTTTTCCCTGTACAACATGTATCACTATCTGAAATATATCTCAGATAAACATTTACTGAAGGAAGAGAAATGAGTTACTGTTTCCTCCCTGTTGGCTGCAGATCCTCTCCCTGACTTCCTCTGCTTCCCGGCTGCTCAGGACGGCCCTGACTTCATTCTGTGCCAAGTACACCTACCCCGTCTGCAGCGCCCTCCTTGTTCCCCTTCTCCAGGCCCCAGGCATAGGTAATTCTAGAACCAGCCCCAGACCTGGTACCTCTGCCCTCTGTGCCCAGCACCCTTTGCTGGTAGGAGTTTAGTGTTCAGTGGGTCAAAACACCTGTTGCTTCCCTGGCGGTGACAGGCATCCTGTTCCCCCCAGGCCCACCTCCTCCCCTTTGCTCTCCCTGGCCCAGGTCCAGCTCAAACAGAGTTACTGTGTGGCCTAATGAAGGACGAGTCCCTGGAGCCGGACACACAGGGCCTAATGCTGGGGTAAGTGTGCAGGACTCCATGTTGCCTCCACTCCCATCTTTCCCCCAGGCCAGGCCTGTTCCAGGTGGCAGCCKGCTGGGCACCAGACCCTGGTCCTCAAAGACAGGATGTGGTGTAGCTGGTGCCCCTGTCACTCCAGCTTGAACCTGCCTCATGCCTTCCACCAATGGGCCCGTGCACATTGCCATTCCATTCACTTTCCCATGCACTTCCCGAGCCCAGGGTTGCTGTTCTTCTCCCCACAGTGGCCTMTGTGGGGTGTGGGGCTAGCTCCATGCCAAGTGCCCTGAGAATGCAGATAAGAGGCAGGTCCCTGCTCTGGAGTGCTTCATGGCCTAGCTGGAACATGGTGCGGTGGTTAAGAGCATGGCTCTGCAGTCAATATCATTTTTATTTAGATACATGAACTCAAACTCGTTACTCCATCTCTAKGATCTTTCATTTCCTCACATATGAAAAATGAGGGTGATATTCATTTCATAGGACTTTTCTAGATATCAAATGTGATGATGCATGTAATGAATTCAGCACAGTATTTGGCATCTAATAAGTGCTCAAAATTGATATTAAAATAGTGTTAAATTGAGGTATTAAAATTGATACAGACATGAAATAATGAATAAGACGGACCTCATTGGACACGGATGTGAAATATAAAATGCTAATTAGGAGAGGACTGCCTCAAAAATAATAGCAGCTGCCACTCACTGGGCATTTTCTCTGTGCTTTAGAGTCTTATATACTTCATTCAGTCCTGTGAGGCAGGAGTGCTGCCACCTGAGAGCTGGAAAAAATGCTTAGAGAGGTTAAGGCATTTGGCTAAAAGGTCGCCCAGCCAACAAGTGGGATGAACCAAGCCTGCCCGCTCAGGAAGCCACAAGTCTCCACTGTGACGTGCTRCATTTTGAAATGAGGGGAGGGCCACACAGTGGAACAGGAAGCGCAGCTGGAGTGGCCATGGCGTGGGTGGAGCTTTGCAGGGAAGGCCACCTGCTCCAGGAGGCCTATTGTGTCATCCCACAGCGTCACCTTCCTCCTCTTTGAGTTTCCTTCACCTTTGGTTCTCAAAATGCACTCTTGAGAGCTGGGGATGTGGTTCAAGCGGTAGCGCGGTCGCCTGGCATGTGTGTGGCCCAGGTTCGATCCTCAGCACCACATACAGACAAAGATGTTGTGTCCGCCAAATACTAAAAAATAAATATTAAAAAAAAAAAAAAAATCCTGGGGCTGGGGATGTGGCTCAAGCGGTAGCACGCTCGTCTGGCATGTGTGTGGCCCGGGTTCGATCCTCAGCACCACATACAAACAAAGATGTTGTGTCCACCGAAAACTAAAAAAAAAATAAATATTAAAAAATTCTCTCTCTCTCTCTCTGTCTCTCTCTCTCTCTCTCTCCCTCTCTCTCCCCCTCTCTCTCCTCTCTCATTCTCTCTTTAAAAAAAAAAAAAGACTTTAAAAAAAATCCTCTCTCTCTCTCTCCCTCTCTCTTTAAAAAAAAAAAAAATGCACTCTTGACTCCTGGTTATTTTTTAGTAGGAAACTATATTATATTAATCAGATTTTTGTTGCTGTGGCCAAAATACTCAACAAGTCCAACTTGGAGGAGGAAAAAGTTTTTTTGGCTCATGGTTTCAGAGGTTTACTCCATGCTCAGCCGACTCCCTTGCTCAGTGCCCAAGGTGAAGCAGAGCATCATGATGGAGAAGAGCTGCTCAGCTTATGGCTACTGGGAAGCAGAGAGTGACAGAGATGGAGGCACCACAGTCCAATAACCCCAAAGGCATACCCCACCTGCCTAGAGTTACTACCCACTTCGTCCATTCAAATTAGGATGGATTGATTAGGTCACAACTCTGGTAATCCAATCATTTWCCTCCTGCATTAACCGGAGCTTTGGGGGACACCTCAGATGCAAACCATAACTCCTCTCACCATCACACTACCGTATCCTTCACCGTCAACTCCTGGGGGTCTTGGGTTGTGACCTTCCTTGTGYATGTACGGGCTCTGCAGCAGAGGCTRCTGGGGCTGTTGCCCATGTCACAGGGCTCTGACTACTCTGTTGGCAGGGATCTTGGCTGGCCCCAGAACCTTGCCCTGCCAAAATAACAAGAGCAGTAAAAACCCAGGTTTGATGGGCAGTTGGGCCTTTCTCACCAGGGCCACTTCTCCGCAGGCAGATCTTAGAGCTGTCCTGGAGGGAGGAGACTTTCCTGGTGTTGCAGTCACTCTTGGAGCGGCAGGTGAGCAGGCYGCCTTGGAGGCAAGTGGGCAGAGAAATGCTGCAGTGCTGTGGGGGATGGAGGGATCCTGGGTTTCTGGGTCTTTTCAGTGATGAGAGGCAAGCAGGACGATCACCCAACAGCATGGTGCCCCATGACRGGGAGAGCCCTGCAGCTCGCAAGGTTGGGAGCAGAGCTGACCATGTGGTCCATCTAGCTCTACCTCTAGTAAGCTTGGGGCTCTAGGACAGGATTTTTTTTAAATTTTTTTTTATGTATTTATTTATTTTTATGTGGTGCTGAGGATCGAACCCAGCACCTTGCACGTGCCAGGCGAGAACTCTATATCTGAGCCACAACCCCAGCCCCAGGATTTTTTGATATGTATGTGTAAACTTAAGTTTTGAATAGGTAATAGATTCTAATGTTCATAAATTTTCTTTATTTCTTTCTTATTTCTGGTACTGGGGATTTAACTTAGGAGTACTTAACCACTGAGCCAAATCCCCAGCCTTTTTTATTTTTGAGGCAGGGTCTCATTAAGTTGCAAAGGGCCTCACTAAGTTGCTGAGGTTGGCTTCAAACTTGCAATCCTCCTGCCTCAACCTCCTAAGTCACTGGTATTACAGGCATATGTCACTGTGCCTGGAAAGCTGACATTTCTTTATGCTTCAGTTTCCTCTTTTAAGAAAGGAGAGTTATTTATTTATTTATTTGGTGCTGAGGATCGAACCCAGGGCCTCACATGCCCTAGGTGAGCCACAACCCCAGACCCAAGAAAGGAGAGTTATGAGACTGGAATAAAGTTTCAATGGGGTAATTGGTATAAAGTGCYCAGAACCGTTCCTGATGCATAGTATTGATTAAATTATTATGAATCGCTGCATTGTCCCTTGGGATCTTTCACTCCTTTATATCTTCAGCAACAAGGCAGACTGTGTATCCTTGGTTTCACCTTGGTGTTTTGCAACAATGGCTACCATTTTCTGAGATCTGTCTCAGATCCTGTGTGCATTATTTCATTTATCTTTCTCACAATCTTCAGAGTTAGATATTTTGAGCCCCATGTTACAGATGTGGAAACTGAAGCTTAGTTCTCCATYACTGTGACAAAATGTCTGAGATAAGCAGCTTACAAGGAGGAAAKGTTTATTTTGGCTCATGRTTTCTGAAGCTTCAGTCCATAGTTGGCCCAGTTGCTTTTGAGTATATAGTGAGGCAATAGATCTTGGCTGCAGGAGCATGTGGCAGAGGAGGTTGCTCACATCACGGTGACCAGAAAACAGAAAGAGACAGAGAGGAGGGGCAGGGGTCCCAGTGTTCCTTTCTATGGCCCACCACAAGTGACAGAGCTTCCTTTTGCTAGGATCCACCTCCTAAAGGCTCCACCACCTTCTAGTAGTGCCACCCTGGGGACCAAGCCTTCAGCACGTGGGCCTTTAAGGGACATTCCAGACCCAAACTATAGCATTTGGTTAAGCTACTTGCCCAGGGTCACCTCGTGAGGAAATAGTGGAGTTAGGAATTGAGTCCAGGAGAGGATGAGTGAAGAGCGCAGGCCTTTCTTGTGATTTGCTCCATCTCTCAATGTGTGCAGGTAGAGATGACCCCAGAGAAGTTCAGTGTCTTGATGGAGAAGCTCTGTAAAGAGGGGCTGACAGCCACCACCTCCCTGGCCTATGCCAAGCTCGTGCTGACAGTGATGACCAAGTACCAGGCTCATGTGAGTGTTGATAGGGCCGCAGGGGCTGGTCCTACTGGCCAGGCTGCTCTGGGTCTGCCATGAGGGTATACAGATTTCGAAGGAATAAAACACTTGCCAGGGAAACACAAGTTCAAGTCCAGAACTGAGAAATGGGACTGCTTAGGGGTTTATTCATCCAGCTAACACCTCTTTGAGCCAGATATTACAGTTAACTATCATGTCTTTCCTGTTCACTAGCCTGAGATTGGAGGACAGGGTCATCTCAAGGGGAGGGACTGCATTGTGGTTACTATGATTTATCAACACAAGTGGCAAATCTAGCTACAGGCACATGCTATGGTGCCTGAGCTCCATTTTATAGATGAGGAAATGAAGACTCAGAAAGATTAAAGTCATTTACGCAAGGTAACATTGCCAGGACTGGCAGCACTTTATAGGGGGCGCAGTAAGTCAGGGACTGGGCTTTAGTTCTTGGCTGTTGGCATTTTACCTTTTTCTTGGAGATCACAGACCTATTTGTTAATTTCATGAAATTTGCTATAGATCCTCCCAGAAAAGTGAAAATATGAGCCTGTCTCTGCTGCACAATTTCAGGGGGTTTCCAGACCCTCTGTAGCTCATGGAAGAGGCATGTCCCATGTGGGGCTTCAGGAGTCTTCTAAGGGAGAGTTATTTGGTCACATTTGCATTATAAAGAAGCCCCTGGTTTTCTTGAGGAGTGGGGATTGGAGAGGGAAGATGCAGGGCCTGGGAGCTGTCAGGACTTGCACCAGCAGGTCAGAAAAGAGAATGAATGCGTGGTCTCAAAGGAAGGTGGCAGGCACAGTGGAGTCTTGAACCTGTTTCCTCATCTGTAAAAGGGAGGGCTGTGAGGACTACGGAGGAATGTGTGCAGGTCTGCCRCATGTAAGCCCCCAATATTTGCCTAATGCTGTTAATTTAACTTATTAGTAAGGCTGGCTAACCATGGTGAAATAAAAAGGTGTGGTCGCTCAGGAGCCTCCTGCTCTTCCTCCTCTGGTCCTTTGTCCTGGCTTCCTCTCTYCTTCCTAAACAGGGCCCCTGGGGTAGAGAGGCGAGGGGAAGGACCAGTCGCTAGAGTCTTGACATGATTCTTCCTCCTCCCCAGATCACTGAGGCCCAGAAGCTGGACCTGGCCATGGTCCTAGAGTCCAACACCACCTTCCTGAGGAAGTCCCTACAGGCTTCCTTGAAACATCTGGGCCACTGACCATYCAGCAAGGGATCACCTCCTGGAGCTCCGACACCAGTTTCCTGAAGGAGATTTTGCCCTGAGCACCTCTCCCTGACTCCTTGCCTCAGACTGATCCCCGCCGATCCAGACTGACCAACTGCCTCCTTGTTCCAGGCTGCAGAGGCCATCCTGACCTCCCAGTCAGGAGGGAGAGCTCTGGAGTGAAGGGAGGGGGCTGAATGAACTGTTTGCCAGGGCTGCTGGCCCTGGGCTTGCTCCTCATCACCTCTGAGGCTGCAGAAATGGAAACTTTCTGACAGGCCTAAGTAGTCAGTGGCAATGCTCAGTGGGGTCAATGATAGACACAGAGTGCTGGAGGGGACCTGGGCCACCTCTGTGCTCAGCACAGCTCTCTTAGGCTCAGGTATGTTATGACCCTCTGTCTTTGTTTTCTAATTTGAATAAATTATCAATAGCATTTAATAAAAAGCAGGTGGTTTAATGATGTCTTATTAGAAGCAGTGCCTGCCTACCTTCCCAAGTAACTCTGGGTACAATTGAGCCATCCCCCACTCCCTGCAACCTCCTGCTCAGTAACAGGAGGCATCCTCTTCCTAATGAGGGGAACAGTGTAGAGTGCTTTTTCTGAAATTCATTCATTTACATTCCCTGTGGGCCAGTAATATGTGACCACCACCACCACCCACAGCCCCACAGTAGGTGAGGCATGTAGCAACCACTGGGCAGGGGTGTGGTGGGAATGAGGACTTAAAAGGTGAGAGTATCTCAGGCCAGAGTTGGGAAAGAGTTTGGGCCCAATAACATCTGACAAGGGCCGGGYGGTCCTGGGGGTACTGCTGTGGGCAGAGAAGAGGACAGAACATACTTTAAAGGTAGGTAGTGCTGTGGGCCTGTTTTACATCTTTGTATTCCCAAGGCACCTAGCTAAGCCCTTTGTTTACAGAAAACACTTTGAACGTGTAAATGTTACTGAGTCAGCTGTCAAGTGAACATTCACTACAGTATCTTCCTAGCTTCAGGCATTGAAGGACCAAGAACAGAACTTTCTGGTCACTTCCCTGACCACAGCTTCCTAGGAAGCCCCAAACCACTCTTCAAGCAAGATGATGAGAGAGGAAGGTCAGGGCTAGGGATAAAGCCTGTTTTGTTTTGTTGTAGATGGATATAATACCTTTATATATTTTTATGTGGTGCTGAGGATAAAACCCAGTGCCTCGTGTGCTAGGCAAGCACTCTACCACTGAGCCACAACCCCAACCCTAAAGCCCTGTTTTGAGAATAACAGTTGAGGCAGAGGGCAGGAGGAAGTGGGCAGGGGTTTAGGGGACAAACATGCCAGAATTGCATGCTGGCAGTGGCCTTCACCAATACTGTACCCAGTATGTGTGACTACTGAACCCCAGGCCCTGGACCTCTTTGGCTGCTCCCTGCATTGTAGTTACTAAGTTGAGAGGCAAGGTATGGAGGAAAGTAAGTTGACTGAAAAACCAGCTAATCAAGAAGATAGGACTCTCRTCCACAGCCCTGAGAGCTCTCGCTTCTCTCTTGTGGGGAGGCTAGTTTAGGGACAGTTTATATAGGAAATGAGTGATCCCAGACTGGTGGGCACCTTCTCACAGGTGGAGGTTTGTGACCAAAGGATGCATGATCCTAATTTCACAGTCAGGAGATGCTTTTCAGTTTTGCAAATCTCAACAGCAGAGATAATTATTTCCTTGGGCTACTCTCATCACTGTAGTTGACATTACACAGCAGGCCAGCGGGGCTAGCTACCTTGAGGCTTTCTCCCTGACCAACAAAGGCTTAAATGAAAATATAGTTCACCTGATTGTCTTGGAAGACAAGGGTCAGGTAGGTTTATCARGGAGTCAGCAGAAGTGGTCTCTGAGCTATTTCAGACTCAGTGCCTTCCCTAAGAGCCTGGCAGCAGCTGGCCAATGGGGACAGTTAAGGTGGGTCCGCTGCATGGCGCGGGCGCCCCCCAGCGGCGACACGCAGCGGCGCTCCTTTGGGTTGAGTCTATCCACTGCGTTCTGGACGTAGTCCGCGGGAACGACATTTCTCGCGAGAGCAGGGCCGCTATTTCTGCGCGTGCGTAAATTGCCCTAACCTCTTTCTGGTACTGCGGCGCGAGGAACCATGAGGTGAGTAGTATCAGAATGCCATCCGCGTTCATCCGCATTTCTTGGTGCCGGGCTGACTTCACCATGGGGCATCTTTACTTCGGGTCGGCTTGCGGGCCTGTTTTCCCGCCAGGTTCTGGGCTCCAGTCGCCCGATGCGGTGCCGGAGAATCCTGTCTCGGGCCGCACGCCCGGGGCGCTAGTGGGTGGCGGGCCGGCCCTGAGCGCGCTCGCTTCTCTCCCGCAGCAGCAAAGTCTCTCGCGACACCCTGTACGAGGCGGTGCGGGAAGTCCTGCACGGGAACCAGCGCAAGCGCCGCAAGTAAGTGCGGGCCTCCCCGGAAGCCCAGGTTCCGGGTGGTGTGGGAAGCGGGCCGCTGGTGACGTTGTCCCTTCCTCTAAGGTTTCTGGAAACGGTGGAGCTGCAGATCAGCTTGAAGAACTATGATCCCCAGAAGGACAAGCGCTTCTCGGGCACCGTCAGGTTGGCACCGTCCTGACCCCACCCGGCCCTCAGTGCCCGGTGCCCGTCTGCTCCCTTTGAGGCTCTCGCCGAGCCCGGGCGGCCCCGTGCGTACTGACGTGCCAGGGGAGTTCAGGCGCCCTGCCCCGGGCAGGCGGCTGGGCGGACCCCCACCCTGGGTCGTAAAACATGAGGGGAGGCGTGGGGAGGCCTTGGCCGAGCCCGCCGGCTAGTCTGAGAAACCAGGCTGGCTGTTGGTGAATGTGGAGACTCTGGGTAAGCTCGCGTGTGCTCGGTCCCAGCCCCTCCACCTGCCCCTGGGGCCCAGGGCTGGGCRTGACCTGTTCTGTCCCCCCAAATGCAGGCTTAAGTCCACTCCCCGCCCTAAGTTCTCTGTGTGCGTCCTGGGGGACCAGCAACACTGTGACGAGGCCAAGGCTGTGGATATCCCCCACATGGACATCGAGGCATTGAAGAAGCTCAACARGAATAAGAAGTTGGTCAAGAAGCTAGGTGAGCTAGCCGGCCTGGATTTGTATTTTTTGTTCTAGGAGGGATTGATGGTGGTAGAGTGGTTTTTCTGCCATTTGGGTTTTTTAATGACCACAGTCAGGATCACAAAAGTAAGGACTGCTGTGCTTGGTTAGTTAGTTTTGGTGGACTTTCTTTTTTAATATTTGCAGGGTTAGGATTTTATAAAGGTGGCCATTTGGCTTTTAAGAGGTGAGATTTTACTGTAATGAAAACATACTCGGCCTGATTATGGAAGACAGTGTCMTGTGAAGTTAAGTCAACTAGCCCAGGTGCTGTGATTTGGGATTTGTTTAGGCAATGGTATTAGATCTGTTTTACAGCTAAGAAACTGATGTCCTCAGTTGTCATCTATCARCTAGAAAGAGAGGAGGAAGAATTTGAACCCTGGCAATCTTGAGTAGAGAGTGCTTTGCATGCACTATGCCATGGATTTGGGGTCATTCTGGTCTTAAGCGAGGTTTCAGGACCAGTTCTGAGAATGGAGCTAGATACTGCATGGGCATGTGAAAGGGTTGAAAAGCCTTGGTCCCAGGGGCTGCTTGGATTGGAGTTCGTTTCTGTGGTTGATTCAGGTGTTTTTCTGACCCTAACACCCATGTTTAGCAGTCTCTTTGTCTCTGACCTAAGCAGCCAATAGTTTTCCTCTTTTCCAGCCAAGAAGTATGATGCCTTTTTGGCCTCAGAGTCCTTGATAAWGCAGATTCCACGAATCCTGGGTCCAGGCCTAAATAAGGCTGGCAAATTCCCTTCCCTGCTGACACACAATGAAAACATGGTGGCCAAAGTTGATGAGGTGAAATCCACAATCAAGTTTCAGATGAAGAAGGTAATGCAGTCTGGTCTGTTGCCATGGGTGAGGGGTGTTGGCAGAATTTTAAATTTCAGGTTTTRTCTAGCCCAAATGGAGCCCATCAGAACTCTGGTTCATATTTCTTTGAACACAGGATATTTGAYAGCAGGGGAACTGAGTAGAATGAAGCTTTCTGAATAGCTTTGACTAGAGCTATCCAGAAAGCTTCATTCTACTCATTGGAGTCTAGAATCCAAGTATTGCTCTTAGGGTCACTGTGGGAGGAGGGATGAGCTGTCGGCCATCCCTTACTAACCTTACTTGACCCTCTTCCCTCCATCCAGGTGCTATGTCTGGCTGTTGCTGTTGGTCATGTGAAGATGACAGATGATGAGCTTGTGTATAACATCCACCTGGCTGTCAACTTCCTGGTGTCATTGCTGAAGAAGAATTGGCAGAATGTCCGGGCTTTATACATCAAGAGCACCATGGGCAAGCCCCAGCRCCTGTATTAAGGCACATCCTAATAAATCCTAGTGCTACCATCCCTTAGTCTGCCTGTGATTAGAAATGGACTGTTTCAGCGCTGATAGTTGGCATGTGTTAGAATTATTCGTAGCTAGTTGTGTGTGGTTTGTCACCTTGGTGATGGGCAGTTGGGCACCATACTGTGGATTGCACTCTCCTTCCTGCCACCAAAGTCATGTAGTCTTGAGCCCTCATACCTAGAGTATGTGATAGTAGGGTTGCTGACAAGATTGAAGCTTTTTTTTTAATATATATTTTAGTTGTAGGTGGACAAATACCTTTATTTTTTATGTGGTGCTGAGGATTGAATCCAGGGCCCCCTTTATAGAATCCTTAGTATCTTGTGGATCCTGTATTTTGAGTTCTAAATTGAAAGGTAAATGTCTGGGAAAATAAGAATAACACAGAATTTTAGTTGCTGGATTCTGTTGATAACTTTGTAGAATAAGCAGTGGGTGGAGTCAGAATGTGGAAATTTCCAAGCTCTTTGTCCCAGGCAGCTCAACCACTTCCCTAGCCTTAAGACCTTCCCTGTTAACAGTACTTGACTCCAGCATCCAATGCTGATGCAGAAATGCTTATGCTGGTTTAACCTTTGTCTTGGATCTGCTTCATTTAACTTTGGTAAACAGAAAAATCAGTGCATCCTTATGCAGGGTGTGTGTGGTTTTGAGGAGACAGTGTCTCCCTAGGTTGCCCACACTGGCTTTAAACTCAGGCTCCTCCTGGGTAGCTGGGAGTAAAGGCATGCACCAGTGCCCTTGACCTGAAAGGTTAATCCAAAGGATAACGCTATAGTTGAGACAAGTTTTCTCATTGAACTGAAAAATGGAAGTTTTCACCCAAGATTTTCTGCTTTTTTGGAGGGGATACCAGKTATTGAACTTATGGCACTTAACCACTGAACCATATCCTAGCACTAATTTTGTTATTTTGAGACTGGGTCTCACTGAATTGCTTAGTGCCTCACTTTTGCAGAGGCTGGCTTTGAACTCAACAGTCCAGCCTCAGCCTCCAGAGCTGCTGGGATTACAGGCCTTGCATTTTTTCAAAAACTTAATGTGGTGCTGAGGATTGAACCCAGCGTGCAAGTTTGAGTGCTCAGCTATAGAGCTGAGCCCCATACCCTCAGCCCCTGGCCTTGCATTTTTTGAGTAAGTTGTAACTCCTGCTTTCTGGTAAGATAGCTAACTACAGTGTAAAGGGAATGAGCATGAAGCTTTGAGTTGCAAGGTATTGGGCAGAGCCTCCTTCCTCTTCTGGCTGTTAGCTAGTATTGTTGGATGGTCACCCCCCATCAAGTTAAGGAATAGGAAAAGGTTAGGGCCCATTTCTTAAAGAGCTTTGATCTTGCATCCACGGATGACTTTGACCCCTAGGCCAGGCATATGGGTCCTTCTAAATGAAGTTCCAGGGACACTCCCATCCAAGTGACAGGCAGTCTTTCTAGTTCAGTAGACCTGACTCAGTTTGGGAATCCATCTATAAATCTGAGGTTGGACCAGATGAGCTCAAAGGCTAGAGTTCTAGAGTAGGATTAGTAAGATTTGGAACACAACTGACCCACAAACAAATAACTTTTAATTTTTTTTTTTTCTTGAGCAGGAACTAGGCCTTGAGGGCCTTGCCCCAGCCCAGAACCACATTTATAATATAACCCATCACAGCTGGATTTAAAAAATACACAAAAATATATATATATATAATAAACATTATAAAACCTAGGTGGGATTTGGAGGTGGCCTGAGCAATATGCAAACTGTGAGGACCTTCAGGAAGCTCGGGCAAGGTGGGGTGGTGGTAAGGAAGGGGCACAGTACTTCATATGAAACTTATAAATACCCAGAGGTGAAGGTGGCTGGGGGACAGTCCACCAGCTCTCAGAGGCTTGGGTACAGGGAAGGATTAACAGGACTAGGAAGCTGCTGCCCAGGGCAAGATSTGAGCAGGGGGCTTACCCTGTAGGGTATATGGAGGCTCTGGTGCCACTGGCTGGCYTGCAGACTGGAGTACCTAGGAGCCTTGTCCAAACAGGTACTTCCCCATAGTGGGGAATGCTGGGAGGAGGTACTATATCCAGACCCCCAACCCACCAGTCCTTGGCAGTTCCACTCCTCACTCCCATACAGACCCACCACTGACCAGCCCCCAGGAAGTAAACCTGGGCTCTAGCTCTACCCATCCCCCACTGGGAGCTGCAGAGTCAGGATTGCACAGGCCACATAAGGAGCCTGGCTTCAGACCTGGCACACAGGAGATGCAAAGAAACATGGGCCCCTCTCAACCAGGCCCCCAACCTGATGCTCTTTCCCCCTCTGCAGGCTGCCTCCCTGGGTCTCCATTCTACCTTGCCCATCGCATTCCCCTGGAGGCCAGGAGCCACAYACTGGAGCCTGAGGGGGTCCTCCATCCCCACAGAACCAGCTGATGGTGGTCAGTGCCCTGGGCAAGCTGCCCCACTACKGAGCCCTCCTCTCTTCTCCCACAATTAAAGCGCAGAACAGTGGCAGGGAGTGTGTGTGCCAGGGATGGGCGGGGAGGCCTCTTGGGTCCAGGGCCTGAGGCCTGGCAGGTGGAAGAGTTCTCAACCTGGACTCCTGGGGGTGCCAGGCAGGTGTGTGGAAAAGATGCTCATCTTGCAACCTTGAGGAGGCACAGAGAACACCCTAGTCTTTGACAAGCTTGTAGACGTGGTGCTGGGCCCCATGCTCACTGGTGGAGACTTCGAAGACAAAAGCAATGACGAGCAGGGTCTCCTGGGAGTCTCGGCTTGTGACCACCTGGGGGGCAGGTAGGGCGGTTCACAGGGGGGCAGCCAGGGGCAGGGAGCTGGATGGGCCCTTCTGCATTGGTCTCAAGTCTCATCTGAGCCACCATTYTGCTACCCCACTTAACTCCCCGGCCTGTGGCCCTCCTGGGACGCCCAGTGAGCCCTGCTGCCCACACACCTGCAGGATGGTGAAGTTCTCCAGGACGCTGTTCATCATGTACTTCTCGGGCAGGTGCTTCAGCTTGTGGATGAAGTTGATCATGTACTCACACATRGGCGAGCGGTGGATGCGGTACACAAAGCGGCCATTCTCCAGCCGGGCATACTCCGTCTGGGAGGGCCAGAAGACATCACCAAGCCTGCYCACACCGGCCCACCCACCCTGTCCCACGGCCCCACTCACCTCCACCTTCTCCACCACCTGCTTGCCAAARGAGCACACCTTAGTGGACACGCTGATGGTCATGCTGTCGGCAGAGCTGTACTGGGAGCTGACCCCATAGAAGGCTCCTGGGCCCTCCTGGATAGTACTGTTGAGGTCAGCCTGGGGATAGGGCAGGGGGTGGGGGGTGGATGTCTCAGTTCCTGGCAGAGGCCAGTGGGTGGTGTCACACCCCAGGACCTGTCTCTGGCACTCGGCCCACAGGCCACAGGAGAAGAGCTGGATTAGGGTCAGTTTAGGAAGCTGGATGTGCTGCCCATCTGGGGTGGGGAAGGGTGCTGGGAGCAGGGAGGGACCAGGGTGGCTCACCCAGAACTTGACAAGGAAGAAGGCGTTAGGGGGCCCCTTCTCATAAAGCTCCTTCAGTCCACCCTTTTTCTCAGGGAACTTGTCATAGATCTGCCGCACGTCTACTGCCTCCAGGGGYGGGTCTGAGAAGGCAGGGTTCGTCTGGCCGATGTGCACAAACAGGTGTTTGCTGTACTGTGGGGAGGGCCCAGACAGGGTCAGGGGCACTGGGTACACAGGCCTGGACGGGGGGGCTGCTCAGGGACAGAACTTCCCTATGGCAGATCAGACCCCCACACTCATGATCCTGACACAGGGTCCTGAACCGCGCAGCATCACCCCGCCCCACACACATTACCGTGTCGGGGTCTCGCTGCACCTCCATAAAGGCCGAATACTCAAGCAGCCGCAGCCGGGAGGAGGCGATGGTGCGGTCCTGCCACACGGGCACAGAGGCAGCAGCTGGGGGCAGCGGGGCCAGGGGCTCGTAACCTGTGAGGTGAGATGGAGCCTCCTCTGCACGGGCACAGGTGCGTTATCACACACAGAGCTGCCGTGGCCTGCACCAGGCTCTGCGCAAATAGGCACCCRGTGCCATGGTGCCCTCAGAGTAGGAAACGGCTGGATTCTGACTTCYTGCGAGGTGTCCTGTACACTGTACACCCACAGAAGGTAGCCCTTACAGCACACGACACACACGTTTCTTTGTGTCACTATTAAAATGTGTCTAAACAGAAAATGCCAAAAAGTAAAAAGAGAAAATAACAACTACCCAGAACCCCAACGCCTAGAGAGACAATTTGGGAGGATGTTTACGGGAGCTTTCCAGACACAGCGACACATGAGAATGAGCTGTGCCTTGGCCACATATCGTTTTCTGCCAGAGTTCCAGAAGCAACAGCAAGATTGTAAGTCCCAATCTCCTGTAGGTGTGGTACACCAGGGTTCCACACACACGCGTGCACGCACACACACACACACACACACACACACACACACACACACACACATGCACACTGTCACCTATGTGCATACTGCAGGGGCACTGCCAAGGGAGGGCTGTGGTGGGCAGCCTTGCCGGGGCACTTACTGCTGAGCGTGGGTGGCAGGGGTGGCTGGATGGGGTAGGCTGGCTGCGCAAAGGGCTTGATGCTGCGGGCAAGACGGTGTGGTTAGAGGTTTTCCTTGGCACTCTCACCTGCCCCAGTCCCTCATCTGGGACCCCAACAGGAAGTCACCCAGCCCTTCTGCTGAAATCCAGGAATGTCTGCTGACAAGTTAACTCGCAACCTTTCTGTTTCTTTCACATTTTAACTTTCAAGAAATCCTCTGCAGCTCACCATTGGTGGACACGTTGAAGGTTGCTTTTCAGCCCCACCCCCATCCTGGAAAGCTGTTCATTAAACTGCGGGTGTGACTTCAATACGTGTTGTAAGAAGGCCAGTAGCTTGACCACCTGCCTGACTCAGGTGAACCCAGTGAAAAATRAACCAAGGGCCAACATAAGCGGATGGCGGGGCTGCGGGTGACGAGCCCAGGAGCACAGAGCTGGGAGCCCCGCTGCAGCCTCCGGCCCTATAGTTTTGCATTCCAGCTCTGCACAGCTGGGCCGGGGCCCAGATGGGGGGCCCCGTGGCTGGCAGGAGGGGACCTGCAGTACTCACTCCTGAGAGGGTCCAGGCTGCTGTCCCAGGAGAGGGGGGCTGCTCCAGAACTGCAGATGGGACAAAGCCARGGCCCTTCAGGATCCATGAATCCCGGAAGGCCCAGACCCCCCAGCCCCACCTCCCAGGACCCAGTACCCTTGAGGACGTGGAGAAGACGGCCTGYGGCAGAGGGGAGGGCGGGCTGAACTTGTTCTGCAGGACACTGGCGGAGACGATCTGGGCAGAGGACATGGATGCCATGCTCTGGAGGGCTTTGTCCTTGGAGACCTGGTCCTGGGAATGGGAGGGTGGAAGTGAGACCTGTGCCAGGCCCCCCGGCCCAGAGGGCTTTGGGAGGCCAGGTGTGGACTCCACTCCCAGCTCTGCCACGAGGTCTATTGAGTGTCTTCTCTGAGCCCAGTYGCCTAGGGGTACGTCAACTCCCTGACCACAACCCACAGTGAGGAACAGCACTGCTTTATGCCACAGCCCACTGTGGCCGTCCCTCAGGATCCACGGGGAACAGGATCCAAATGCTCAGGAGTCCCTTATGTAAACTGGCACTGCATTTTAAAGAACCTACACATTCTTCTGTGTCCTTTCAATCATCTCCAGATTATTTCCAATATCTAGCGCAATACAAATTATATGCAAATTGTCCTCCCCCAAGAGGCTGGGAGCATGGGTGCGGGTAACAGTTTACTTYCAGAGAGGTCTTGCCAAGATGCTGAGGCTGGCCTTGAACATCTTCCTGCCTCAGCCTCTGGAGTTACTGGGATYACATGTGCCATTGCACCCGGAAAAAAAAAAAAAATTTATACTAGAATTTTTAGGGAATAATGTCAAGGAAAAGAGGTCTGTATGTGTTCAGTACAGACAATCTTTTTCAAATATTTTAAAATCTGGGGCTGGTTGAATCCACAGGTTCAGAACCCATGGAAACAGAAGCCTAGCAGCATCTACCAAAATATTTCCCCTTGATGGACACCACACACACTCGTAATTTCTATTTCTTCAGGGTGTCTTCAAGTATGATATGTGGACCAACAGCACCAGCATCACCAGGGAGCAGGTGAGAAAATTAACCTTTCAGGCCTCAGCATGGACCTAAGGGATCAGGAACCCCGAGGGAAGCCCCAGAGGTCTGTTTGAAGGAGCTCTCCGGGGGACCTGCCACCCACCGAAGCCTGTGAACAACTGCATTTCATTTTTACAAATGCTGCTTGCACACGTGTTAAACTGATTTCATAATCCGTAATTTGTTTTTTTTGTTTGTTTGTCTGAGGTGCTGAGGACTGAATCCTGGGCCTGGCACGTGCTAGGCAAGCCTCTACCACCAAGCCACACCCGAGTCCCCTGCACTCTGTAATTTGAAAACTCCACCTGTGGCGCTCTAGACCCTCCCCCGGGAGGYGGTGCAACTTACCAGGTTCATGGCCTGTGAAGGAGAGGAGGACAGATTAGAAGAGACATGGTGACAGCTCCATGGGGCAAGGGGACATGTCTTCACCTACCCCCACCCAGTGCCCACCTGGCTATCAGCTCCCGGGGAGCCCAGGGAAGCTTAGAGGCAGCAGTGGGCACTGCCCACCCCCTGAAGGGAGTGCCTGCCAGCTGGGGGTGCCCTGGAAGGGGTAGGATGAAGGGGGGACAAGCTGGCACACCCTGCATCTGTCCCCTGGAACTGTGTATAGGATGGGGAGCTAGGGGCAGGGAAAAGAGCATCCGGGCAACCTGTGAGCCTGACGTGGTCCAGTTCCTCAACCCCAGACCCAGGTCCTCAGGCACAGAGCAGCCAGGACCATGAGGAAATGGCGTGCCCACCTCCTCAGCCCTGCCAGCCAGCATCCACCAGGACCTGCCCACCTGGAGTCCCCATGCGATTAGCAAGCAGCAATCAGAATGAAGGAGAAAAGGAATCAGAGGAGAGATGGCTCTTAGTGGCCCCAAGTCGGTCTCCCTCTCTCTCTTGCTGTAGGGCTGCCGCCCCCCACTCCCGGGCTCCTGCTCAGTCTCCAGGGGCTGTGGCCCTGAGAAGCCTGTCACGGCCTTCGGCTCCCGGCTCACACCTGTGCTTCTGAGACCTCCGCTCAGCGCTCAGCCCTCAGCCCTCTCCTGGGCAGGGCCAGGCCGAGTGACAGGGAGCCCCATACCTTCAATTTGGACTGAATCTCCCGAGATTTCCGCCTGGCTAGAACCTGCAAGTGGCTAGAGACCTGTAGAGAGAGAGCAAGAAAGAAAGAAAAAGAACGGAAAGAGAGCAAGAACACAGCTTAGCCAGAGAAGAGGCACGGCCCGGGCTGTGCAGAGTGGCAGAGGCACCGTGAGGAGGGGCCCAGGGAGGCCTGAGGCCCCAGTCAGGCGCCCAACGTACCTTGATGCCAACCTGGTACTCCCGCACCTTCTTCCGAGCTAGAACCTGTATGTGGCTGGACACCTAGGGGCCGCCCCGCGTCCCGCCGAGAGGAAAACACAGACAGTGAGGAGGCACAGCCGCGGGGTGGCCATGGGCAGGGTGATCCCAGCCCTCATCTCTGGGGGACCAAATGTAAATGGGGGAACTGTGGGCAGTTGCCTCCTGGCACTGCCAATTCTGCTCTCATCTTGGTCTTGTATTGATTAAGAGCCCACCATGTCTTCCAGGACCACCACGTACAGTTACGTAGTTTGTTCACTGCACAAAAATACCTGGCCAGGGGTACCAGTGAGAGTTGAAATCTAGCCCTGGTACAGGGCTGCACCTAGCTCAGAGGAAGGGTGTCTTTCCCCCTCTTTTTCTCACTGGTGTCCTTAGAGGAGAGACCTTTTTCTCACACAACAGAGGATAGCAATGGCCAGGATGCTCCAGCTAGTCATTAGGTCATACACTAAGGCCAAGATCTCCCCGTCTACTGCTGCCCACCTCCTGTCCACCACGGCAGCTTGCTAGCCCATAAACCCAGCTTCTTTCCTAACACACGTGCCTTCCCTCTCCTTGGACTAACATGCCGGCCTGGGGTAAGTACACAGTAAGTGCTCTTAATTGCACCTCGGGCTCTGCCAGCCACCTCCTTCCTGCAGCCTCTGTGGGCCACCCTGAGCCAATCCCACTCTCAGTGTGTACGTCCTGGGCTGGTGTGCCTGACGTCCTCAAGGAACACACGGAGTCCCAGAGACCCACGGGCCACTGTCAGCCACTGCACTGGCTCTTMGCTTTCTCTGCAAGTTGCTTTTATTCCCACAGAGACACAGTTTCTTTTCCTTTTTAATCACAGCCTGAAAGTTACTATGTATGTGGTGCTCGGGGCTCTGCTACTGGGTTAGGACTGGGGGGCCTCCCCCAGGCAGCACTGCACACAGGAATCAGGCTCAGGGGCAGCGAGATTAAGGACCACTTTAGGCCASGAGATGCCATGTTCACTAAGCACACACGAGTTCAGCACTTTACACGCACAAATTCATTTGATCTTTGTAGCAGCACTAATCCAACTTCTGACAGATGATGAAATCTAAGCACAGAGGGGTTAAGCAATTATTCCTAGGACACCCAGCTGTGTGCAAGAGCTGGGACTTGAACCCAGGCTGCCGGATGCCCCAGCCCACTTGCTTCCCTACTAAGCTATTCTACCAGGACTCCTCAGACCCGTAGGCACAGGGCACCACCTCCAAATGGCCAGCTCTGTGACAGCTGAAAGTCACATGAGACTCAATCCCAACTTAATAYTCAGCTGTTTGGTCAATGTGGAGGCATGGCCTCTGCTATTAACTGCTGCATGCAATTAATCTGAAAAAAAACTAAAACTGCATTTCTTTGCCCCAAACCCCAGTCAACTAGTTGGTCATTGTCACACACACAGACAARCCCCATCCACACAACCACAGGATGGTCCCCTTTTTGAAGGGGACGTTAGACGTAAAACCCAGAGTCCTGAGAATAAAGCTGGAGAAGGATGAGGACGGCAGTTTGTAAACACCAGGCTCRCCAAGAAGCAGGGCTCAGAGCGCCCCCTTCCTGGCCCAGGACAGCTCTGTTTATAGTAAGGACAGTGACCGTAACAGCGGTGACAGTGGCAAAGGCTTACAGGGCAYGGTTTCCAGGCCTCACCCATTGGCTCCCTTAACGGCTGAATAACTGAGGATGGGGGACTCCCACCCAAGCCCCTGGCAGCAGAGCTGGGGTTTGGACCTGGGGTCTGAGCCCCGAGTCCCTGTTCTTAACCAACAGGCTCGACTCCCTCATGGGCCCAGGGACCTGGTGGGCAGCTGCCTGCCGTCCCCTGGAGCCTACGCAGTGCGGCACCTCAGAGTGAGCTCAATGAATTCACGCTGTACCAGGGAGGCGGGGCAGGGAGGTGCTTAGTCAATGTTAGGAACAGGAGGCGCCATTTCCACCCCACACTGGGCGGGGGCGACTGAGCCTTCCTCTGGGCCTGGGCTTGGGCAGGCCAGGCTGGTCACCTATATACACAGGGATCCAAGGAGGCGGGTACATGGTCCAAATCTCCCCCAGACAGGGAGGGTGGGAGGCTGAAGGTGGGAACGGCCTCCCTTCCTCCAGGTTCCTGCCTCCAGCCCAGCCTCACTCCAAGACACCCCAAACGCAACTCWGCAAAACCCACGGCCCTCCAGGTTTCCTGTCACCACCCACGGCTTTCTCTGGACCAGAAGCCATCACTGTTTCTCTCTCCATTCCAACCACCACCGTCACCGCCACCCTTGTCCAGGGCCCTCTCCGCCTCCCTGTCAGCCTCCCTGCCTCCACCGGGTCCTCCCTGATCCACTGCCCTGTCTGACCCAGGGCCTCCTTCCTCCACAGCTGCCACCTTCCACTCTCTCTAAACCGGCCTTGAATCCTGCCACCCTGGGGGACRCTGTCGCCCACACTTCTAGCTGAACCACACAGCCTCTCCCACTCCACACTACACTGCCCCTGGGTGGCTCGCCCTGTCCAGTGAGCTGAATCCTGGATCCTCCCACTCCAGCCCAGTGACATGGAGGAGTTACTTAACCTCCCTGTGCCTCAGTTTCCTCATCTGAAAAATGGAGACAATCACTGTGCCCACCTCCTAAGGTTGCTGAGAGGATTAAATAAATTGGTATAAAGTGAGTTTTGCAGGGACTTAGGATTTTTATGATTATACTCAGGTGTCACTTAAGGATGGGAAGAGTTCTGAGAAGTGTGTCATTAAGTTGTTTTGGCACTGTGCAAACATCAGAGGGCACTTACACAAGCCTGGAGGTACAGCCTGCCACACACCTGGGCTGCATGGTACAGACTGTGGTACACACACACGGCCCTCTGGTGACTAACACATCATTACGTGGTGCGTGACTGCACTGCAATCTGTATAGCCAACTTGCTCAGCCTGAAAGGGTCCTCCTTTTCTTCTCTGACTAACTCTTAAAAATGCAGCTCAGGTGCCACCTCCTCCAGGAAGCCCTCCCTCGCCCTCCTCCTGGCCTGGTCTGGTTTAGATGCTCATCTGCCTGTCTATCAGTGCCCTGCACACCCCTGTCTCGGCCAGGCCATCCTGCTCTGTACTTATCTGTCTCCCTGACGGTGACTGGGCCACTCAGGTGGTGGCTTTTCTGTAGGCCCTGAAGTACAGGCCATGGGTGGGTGGCAGGTAATCAGGGAAGACGGTGGGGCCACCTCCCCAGGAGCTACGAGTGGGCCCGTGAGGGCACCCGGGACAGGGGAGCACCAATGCAGCAGTGCAGGGCAGGCTGGGCAGGCCGCTCTGAAGAGGGGGCAGCTCGGAGCAGGCCCGGGGGRTGCAGTCTAGGGGAGTGGCCTGTCTCGGTACCTGTTTCCTTGTCCGCGTCTTTCCTGTTCTCAATTTAATGTAGCGCGCGATCAGCTCATTCCGACCTAGATGAGGTACGAGAGAAAATGAGGTGAGGGAAGAGGGCAGAGCTGGAGACCCACAGGGACCCTTCCTCACTGTCCCCAAGCTGCACAAGTGGGCCGGCAAGGGTGGCTGGGGAGCCCAGGTGCTGGGACCTGGGGGTTGCTCATCGGGAGAGATGGGGATGGGGGCTTTAGAGGAGGTGTCCTGCAGATGCCTGGGGTAGGTGTGTTGTAGGACAGCCAGACAGGGGGCCCAGAGGGCCTGGCCTGGGTGGCACCCCTGTCACTTGCAGCCTGGAGCAGTGCTTCTCTCCTGGGTCACCAGCTTGGAAGCTGAGTGTTCATATCTGGGTATGGAGGGGTTCACCGACGTGTGAGCCAGCTGTGACCCAGGGGGTGGGCACCTCAGCACATGCCCATTCACACCCTGAGAGATCTGGACTGACGTCCAGCCTCACTCTGTCCTGGTCACGGGGCACCCTAGACAAGTCCCTTCCCTTCCTCCGTGAAGAAAGACCGGGAAAACAGGACAAAAGGAGTGGACGTATGGAACACCTCTCCTACACAGACAACCTGTGAGAAAGGTGTCACTATGCGTGTCACGGTGTCCTTGTGCCTGCCGTCCCATATTTCAGGTTGCTGCGTCTCCTACCCCTAAGAGTGCCAAGCTGCCTGTGAGCCTCCTSGTATGGGTCCTGCTCAGCCCCCAGGAACCCTAGGGAACTGGCCCTGTGAGGGGGCCCCTGGACACATGCTTGGGTGTGTGCCAGCATCCTCTACCCCAAAATCTAAGCCYACTGTCCCCCAACCCCTTGGCCTCCACAGAATGGCCACATTCTCCAAATTCCTCTCCCATGACAGAGCCATCCCCACGTGCTCCGCCCATCACCCAGCCCCTCTCCACCCCACTCCCTCCACCCTGTCTAAAAATACCCTGTGGGGCTGCCCCGGCCATCTGGGAGGTGGCAGTGGGGGCAGGAAGCCCCCACCCTATAGAAAGCACCCTGTAACATCTGCCTACGCAGGAAAAGGGGGCTCGGTGCTAAGGACAGGCGTGGCACCGGGGGTGGAACGGGAGGAGGCACAGGCCTGCCATTCCCCACTCTGCCAGAGTCCTGCCACTGGGAGCCGGGCTGGGGGCTTGAATCCACAGCCACAGGCTGTTGGAGGGCTGCGAGCTGGCAAGAGACCAGGGCGAAGCGTCAGAGGGTCGGGTATTCCAGAGAAGGCAGCTCGGGGGCTCCCTCGGGTGGTGCTGCGCAGGACCCCCGCTGCCTTCTGGAGCAGCCAGAGGGCAGAAGGGGCCAGAAAACCCGRAGCGGGCAGGGAGAGGGGCGTCTGAAGAACTGAAAAGGCCCCGGTCCTCCGTCCTCCTCCCAGCACAGGCCCTGGTCACAGCGTGACCTTCCACCCGACCCTGGCAGGAGCTGAGCCGAGCTGTCTGGCGGGCCTCGCCCCAGGCCTCCTTCCCGCTCCCTCCCAGGCAGGGACCCTCGCCCAGGCCTGGACACTGGACTGACCCAGTTTCCTGGGCCCACTGAGTCACCCCGAAACCTCCAGGCCGGCAGCGGAGGAGAGGCGGAGCAGGCGGGGTGAGGTGTGGGCTGCGGGCCGCCCGGCTGGTTTGAGGAGGCCCCAGACACCAGGCTGCACGCCCAGACTCGCGGCCGCCTGCCCAGGCCCCAGGACTTCCCCGACTGGTTGGGTGAGGGGCAGAGAGCAGGGGGCGGGGCCGGGCGCAGGTCCGTGTCCCGTGCCTGCCGCACGCACCGTACATCTTGCCCTCGTCCGACAGGATGATCTTGCGCCGGCCGCAGGGCGGGTAGATGGCCAGGGCCTCCTGGAAGCTCTGCTCGATGTCCGGGCTCCACACGCCCTCSGCGTCGTTGTCCAGCCCCTTGTCCAGGCCCTCGGGCCCATCCTCCCGGGCCTCCCCGGGGCTGCTGCTGGCATTCCAGCTGTTGGACGCTATGGTGCTGGTTGCTCTGGGCTCTGGGCCTGAGCCCACGGGACGGCCTGAGCCTGGGGGGCAGAGGCGGAGGGTGAGGGCCAGGGTCCTTCTGCCCACCGCCATCTCCCATCCCCCAGTCACCTCTGGACCCTGCCCCCACCCCCAGTCCCACTCCAGGGCAGGGGCTCCCAGGTGTTCCCAGGTGGGATGGAGGTCACCAGAGGTCATGCTTCTTTAGAGCCGTGTGGACCAGCTACTTTACCTCTCTGAGCCTTCACCCTGTAAAATGAGGAAAGGGCCTCCTTAGGGGGGTGGTAGGGGTAAAAACTTAAACCAGATCATGACAAAGTACCAACCACAATGCTGTCAGAACACTCAAGATAGTGTGACCAATAACAGCAACAGCGACAATGCCCTACACCTGCTTTCCCGTACATACACATGCTCTTCCTGGGGGAAAAGCACTTGCCTATGCATTCAGTCAGAGCCACAGCAGGGAAGGGATAACAGGAGCAATGCCCGTTACTGCGGTCAAGAAAACTGAGGCTCTCAAGTCAGACGGCTGCCAAGGCACCAAGAGGAGCAGCTAGGAGGTGCAGGGACAGGGCAAGGGGTTTCTGCTGCTCTCAGAGGGACACTGTGGCTCTCGCCCAGCAGAGAAGATGCCCAACCAGGGACCCTACCCCTCATTCTTCCCCCACCAATGCAGCCTTGCTGAGGAACACGGGTGGGGTAAAGAGGGTCCCAGACCTGGGAGAGGAGTGGCTGCTCCTTCCCTAAATAGATAACTAAGGAGGACCTTGCTGAGGAACCCAGACGCAGGGCAGGAAATGCCCCAGGAATTGGAAGAAGACAGCGACGATGGCTGCTGGCTGGCACGGGTGGCACRGGAATGGCTGAGAAGGTGCCCCGCCAACGGCCAAGCCAGACCCCACCCGCTCCTCCATCCCACTTCCTGTTCCCTCACCTCCAGGGCCCCAGTGCAGCCCATAAACCACCCACACGCCTCCCCTGTCCTGACCCACAGAGCAGATGGGCCAGGGCTCTGTAAACTGAGTTCCRGGCAGTTGCCAAGCTGGGTTATTAATTCAGAGCACATCAGCCAGTCCCCGCAAAGCACAGCCTCTCCTCAAACCCTCAACCCAGAACCTGCATGATCGATGCATATCAGAGTCCAGGGGCCACAGGGCCTGTGACCCTAGAGCTTTGCTCTGGGCAGCAGAAAACCCAGTGAGCAGGGTATCCTCAGAGTGGGGACCCCATCAGGAACCAGGGAGGGGAATATGACAGGCCCTGCTGAATGGCAGCAGGGGTGGGTGTGGGTAGGGGTGTGGGGGGCTTTCTCCCTGTGGAGCCACCTGATTGCTTTGAGAAGCCTGAGGGGGTCACTAGTGGAATGGGGTTATCTGAGTATCAGGCAGACACTGAATTTAGACTTAATTTTACTACTAATAACAGCACCTGCCATTGCCAGGCATGGCTCTGGWATTTTACACACGTTGACTCATTTAATCCTCATCATAATCCTACTGAATAGACATCATTATTCCTACTTTACAGATAAGAAAGCCAAGGACAGAGAGGTTCAACAACTGGCTCAAGGAAACACAGCAAGTAAGTGCTAGAGCTGGGTTCTGAGCCCAGGGTATCTGGCTGGAATCTTTTAACCAAGCAGGCCCAGCTCTCATRGCAGCTGCCTTGAGTCTGCTCAGTGGGTCCAGGCCAGGGGATCCCCTCAGTCCAAGCAGCCGGAGCAACTTCAAGACACCCCCGGCTCCGCCGCCACACACTGCTGTGTATGCCTTCGTGTGAGGCCTGCAAGACCACTAGGAAATTGTTTGCATGGCCAGTGGGTAGAAGAGTCAGAAGGGCCAGATTCCCCCATCCCCAGCCTGTCCCTCACGCCAGGAAGCAGTATGCAGACCCCCCAGCCTCAAGGCCAATGCTTAGATATGAATGAGGGAACAAAGGGGTGCTGTCTGGTGGGGGAGGGATGCTGAGGGGCCAGGGACTCCCAGGTTGAAGCTGTTGGGAAGCTGGGCCTCTCCCCAAATTGGCTCTTAGAGGGAGGGAAAGAGGGGTTCCTTGGCTTCCACCCTCCTGGGGAAGTCCTCAACCCCTTCCCCAGGCCTCCCTCAGAGCAGCATGGGACCCAGTGCATGGGGGCCCTGGCAGCCCCAGACTTCTGCGGCAGCTTGCGGCCTCCCTTGTCCAGGAGGTGCCCCCCCTCCCCTCCCGGGTGATGTCAGCCCCGCCCCGCCCCCTCGGGAGCACTGTGGCCAAATATGGCGAACAGAGCAGCGCCCGCCTGCCTGGAGCTGGGACAGACTGGGGGCAGGGCAGTGGCCCCTGGTGGCAGGACTAGGGCAGCTGGGGAGGGGGAGGGGCACAGTGGGGGCCCAAAGGACGAGTCAAGGAGAGAATGGGGACCCTGGTCCCTCATGGTGGCTCTTAGGCACCCGCAGGACTGACCTTCCAGGAAAGCCCCTGGGGGCAGAGGTGCCCACACAGGGGCCTGCAGGTGGCACCCCCAAAACAGAGCTCTGCCCAGCAGCACCAGTGAGCAGATCTGCTGCTGTGTTCCTACCCCAGGAGGAGGTGCGCAAGTGGACAGTCACAGCGGGCAGCTGCTGGGGGCTGGTGAGGTCTCCAGCGACTTCATCATGCAGGAGGGGTCAGCGTGAGGAGCCGCCTGGCTGCTGTCTCCCAGAATTACTACCCTGTTTGTGGCAAGGACAGCGACTCACAGGTGCCCACCCCCTGGCCCCTGCCCCACTGGGACTGGCCTGGTGACAGAAGTGGCTACAGGCTCCTGTGCGAAATCCAGAGGGGGCTGACTGGGGCAGGAGGGCAGGCAGGGGTTGGGAGGGACGCAGTCCCTGGGGCAAACCACTTTGCTGGGCTGTGCCAGCAAGAGGGGCAGGAGACCCAGTGAAGGCTGGGAGTGGAGCCTGAGAGCAGAGGGGACAGGGTAGGACAGACAGACAAGAGTCCCAGAGAGAGAGCCAGAGGAGACGGGGTGCCAGAGCCACAGACAGATGGAAAAAGCTGGGGTGGGGGGAGGAGAGTAGAAAGAGTGGTCACACCACACAGAGACCAAGACCCAGGGAGGGGGCATGCAGCAGAGGGAGTAAAGGGGACAGGAGGGGAAAGGCCAATAAACCCAGATAAGACAGGCATGGGTGGGGCGGGGGTGCAGAGAAAGACAGGGACAAGGACAGAGATACCCAGAGGTCAGGGCAGACCAAAAAAGAAGGAGTGACAGGGAAGGCCACAGTGGAATCAGCCACATCCAGGCCATCCCGCCCTGTCCCAGGGCTCGGCCTCCACCTCTAGCTCAGGCCGCAGCCCTCAGGTGGGCTACTCAGCCTCACCCTGCCTGACCAGCCCCACCTGCTTCGCCTTTCCCAGGACCTCAGCCTTCCGGGGTCAGAAGGTGGCTCTGGGTGGTGGTGGCAAGCACAGGGGCTAGGAGGCTAGGTGAGCAGGCTTTGGGGCCCTGGAGCAGATAAGGGGCACCTTACTGCCCACTCCCCACCCTGAGGCCAGACCTGCTGGAAGAACTGGCTGGACAGCTCCAGGGATGCAGGCCAGAGCTGAGCTGCTGCAGAGGCCCCGGCCCTGTCCCTGTCCCTAGCCCACCGGGCCCTATACAGCTCCTTCACCAGGGGGAGGGCGGGCCAGGCCAAAGCACAAGCTCTCTCAGGACTGTACCCTGGTGGGAAAGGCAGACTGGCAGGAGCATACCTATCCCGCCTCCCTGCCACCCTGCACCAGTCCACAGCGCAGCCTGTCTCCCCAGACCCTGGCCCTCCATTCAAGTGTGGGAGGATCTGTGAAGTGCGCGAGCCCCCTGTCCTCACCCTGGGCTTGGCTGAGCAGCAGGGTTGAGCATGGGAAGGCAACAGGGGGCCTGGAGAGCTTCCCCAGCCTTGGCCTTTCCTCCTACCCCCACCCACCCGCCCCACAGTGGGCCAGCTGTTCTCCAGCTGCCAAGACTCCCACCCTAGCAGTGGCCACGCTCCGGTTAGGACCAGACTGTGCTGGGGGGAGGGGGTAAGGATGGTGTCTGCATCCCCCACCTCCAGCTCAAGGACCCTTGAGGGACYCTGCCAAGTGGCCACACCCTGCCAGGCTGCGGAGGGAGGACCCTCTTCCCTGGAGCAGGATCCGGGGATTTTTGCAGGAGGAAGCAATTTGCAGAGCCCACTAGGAGGAGATGGGGGCCTCCGCCCCTCTCCCCCAGATCATTAATGTGCTTCCAATTTGGGAATCAAGCCTCTACCCCTCCTCCTCCAGCCACTTGGGGTGGGGGTTTTCTTGGGACCAGTGTGGGGTGGATAGTCCCCCCAGGCTCCCTTCTCCAAAGCTCATCCATAGGTTGTCAGTGTAGGAGGCGGGCTGGAGAGAGTCTTCAAGTCTCCTGCAGAGAAGGGACCAGTTCTGGACCTTCTCCGGCTCTTTGAGACTGTCCTTCCCTCATCTGGTCCCATACCCAAGGAGGGAGTCCCAGGTATCAGTGGGGACCCCTTGGTTCTCAATTAACAGTGGGCTGCATCTTGGGCCCCTGGTGCCCTGGGTCACCCACTGAGCTGTACCAGCCACTSAGACTTCCTCTGTGCTCTTCCTCTCTTACTAGTGCTCTGTTTACTGCCACTGTCCTGCTCATTCCCTGTCACCTGCGCCTCTCCCCTTCCTTTTTAAAATTTGTATTCTGACAAAATATACATAAAACATAAGTTTTATCATTGAAACTATTTTTATGTGCACAACTGAGTGGCACCAAGGACATTTCTTCTTATGGTTTTGAACAGTATCTTTTTCATGGTCTTCCACATAGATGCCACATACATTGGGGTCTCAGGTCCCCACAAGCATCACCCACAGGATCCCACGCCCTGTCTGGCACAGCCCTGAGGACATCACCCACACCAGCTCAGATACTGACCACCCACAGAGCCGGTCTCAGTCACACCCCACAGTTTCTTTCACACAGACATGCGCACTCAGAGTGGCAATCGCTGTTTCCCCTGTGCCCGGTGTTCACACTCAGATCCTCGCCACAGTACACCCTCAGATGTGACCACTGTGCCCTTGTCACGTAGCATGGCCACAGTGGGTCCTATCCTTTTATTCATACCTAGTGTCCTATCCAGTCACACCTGAGGCCAYCTCATGCTGTTTCACAACATACAACGTCAGAACTGGTCACGCTGCAGCATCCTCTGTCACCCAGGATGTCACCGGTTCTGCCTCTGACACATGTAGCCTCACATTTGTGCACACCCTCCTCAGGCACACACACAGACAGCCAAAGCAGTCTCCCTCACAGACTCCAGTGTGATGGCCACACATACAGCTTCCCACATACGCATGCAGTGAAGATTCGCAGATTTTCCCAGGGACTTATATTGCCAGTCACACAGAGAAAATGTCACAGTGGCTCTCACATGCATGAATTTCACAAAGTCACAGAAAGTTTCTCTCACATACACATCGAGCCTCCCAGGAACTGTATGGAGCACGGGCCTCTCCCACACACATTCACCTGACACACGGTCTCATCCACACAGTGTCACACTCCCGGCCTCTCTCGCACACCCAGCGTCACACACAGTTGCACTGTTTTCCCTGTATCACTTCCTGTCCAATCGGGCCTGGCAGGGAGTACAGGAAGCAATCAGCACTCTAGGAAACCCCAAGGGCTGAGGTTTTGCAGGGGGATGGAATTCTCGGGCCCCAGTCTCCAGCCCCCTGTGGGTCCAAGGGAAGGAGCAGGGCCCTCTCCAATTGGGCAGCAGCCACTCCTGAAGCAGACCTCCAGGGAAAGACCGTGGGGACAATGCTGAGTGTGACCTGCTGACCTCCCAGCTCTAACTAGAGAGGCTCTTGCGTGGCTCTTGCCATGCCCTCAGGGCTGCCCAGAGGTCCTCRGAGACCTGGATCCTGAAGGCCACCTTTTACACCCCACCGCTTCTGCTGCCCTGTGTGGGAAAAAGAGGCCGGGACCTCCTGGGCACCTCCACAGAGGACGGCAGCATTCAGACCCTCAAAGCTCTCCAGCTGGCACCACCAGCTTCCCTCTCACTATGAACCCCCTTCTGCTCCCCTGTACCCTGAGCAAGGAGGTGGGTAGGACAGGCAGCTCCTGTTCCAGCCTCTTCCACAGTGAGACCTAGTGGGCCCCCAGAGGGCTCTGGGAATGGAACAGAGGGGCAGCCATCCAGGTGGTCTCTGAACACCCCATTTCATCTAGCCCAGCTATACCCTACTCCAGACGACAAGTTTCCCCAACTCTACTGGGCCTCCCTGTCCCTTGACACCTGCTGCAGGCAAAGTTTTCAGCCATGCCTACCTGGTGTAGCTACTCCTCACCGCCTCCCGCCCTCTAATGTTTGCCTTCTTTGCTGCACCATTTGGGAGAACCCACCCAACTGTCTTGCATCCACCTGGTTCAAGCTCACTGATAGGAGGAGAAGGAAGGTAAAGGAGGGATACAGAGACTCTGGGAGGGCTCCAAGAAAAGACACCCAAGAAAGTCATTTATTCCAAGCAGGGAAACTGAGACCCAAGAGACTTCAACTTGACACAGTTAGTGAAAGGTTCACCTGGGACCAGATCCCTAATTTCTTGACCTCCTCTGTTGAGCTACCTCGTCTTGATTTAGTTTGTCTCCAACAGTGTATATTAGGGTGTGCAAACCCGTGAGGGCCTGCATGGGCCTTAGGGCATGCATGTGCAGGGGCACATGTGTCAACACACAGGCACACACACTCAAAGCTCTCTCCTGCCAACCATTGACCATTCTGCTCAGCCATGTCCCAGCACATATGTGCTAATTAGCATTAATTACTGTTACCTCCTGGGAGATGGGGGTGGGAGCAAGAGCCTGAGATGCTTATAGGTTCCTAGCCACTCCAGAAGGAGTGGGGATACAGGGACCCTGAAGTGACCCTCACCAGATAGATAACCAATCTGGGAAGATACACACATCGGTTTATCCCCTGCCCACAGGGTGAGCAGGAACCCAGAAGAGCACAAAACCAGGTACTCTGAGGGGTACCTCTAGAGGAGAGGGTCTTGGGAAGGGGCTATAGGAGTCTGAAATCCCCCCAAGCTTCCAACCTTTTAGGAATTCTGCTTTCCCTCCTGGCCCCAGGTTGCACGCAGCATCCTGGTCAAGGAGATGTCCTGGCACCCAACTCTGGGATGGAACATGTATTCACAGAATTAGGCCTCAGGAGACCCTGATACACAGAGCCACCACCAGCACTAGACCCTCTGAGCTGTATCCAGCCCCCATCCCCCTCCTCTGTGCTGGACTACAAGTCCAGGCCTGACCTGGTTCTGCCCCTACCTGGAGAGAGGGAAGACAGAAAGAGGAAGCCCTCACCCAGGGCCTCATGCCCCCTTCCCTGAATCTCAGCTCTGAACCAGGACAGAGTGGGAAAGGTGACAGAGTGGGGTCTCAATGATACTGCCCCAGAGCCTGGATGGGCTGGAAAACAGACCCAGACCAGCACGCCAGTCCTCCCTTTCCCCAGGCAGGAATAGGGCATGACACAATGAGGGGACCCGGTGGGAAAGGGTGCACCAGCCGCCCTCCAATACTCTACTGTCTAAAGAAGGGCCCTGAAGAAGTGCCGCGAAGGCCCAAATCCCACCCCTCCGAGCTCAGAGCTGGAACTCCGACTTCCATCCTGACGCGGGCAGCAGAACTGCAGCGAACTTGAGCCCCTGCCTTTTGAGGGGCACACAGGCGGGGCGCACAGCTTGGCTCCCTGACACCCTCCACAATCCAGTGCAGCCGCGGGCACCGCGCGCAAGAACCCGCCCGGGCGCCGGGAGGCCCGGCCCAAGGCCTGCCTGGAGCTGGGGCCCGGCGGGCTCCTGGAGAGCGCGGGCCGGGAGTCCAAAGGGCGGCGGGGCCCGGGACTGGGCGCCCCGGGTACAAGTCCCCGGTGGCAGGCCCTCCAAACCGTGCGGTCTCAGGTGCCGGTGCGGACACCCGAAGCGCGAACCGACCGACAGGCGAAGGCACGGGGGACAGTCTCCCGGCTTCCCTACTCCGCGGACCGACTCGTCCCGGTCGCGGGGGGGTAGGTGGGCGGGGCTTCCCGGAGAGATTTTCTCCCCCTTCCCTCTAAACTTCCCGGCACCCAGATCCGGGGCTCCAGCTCAGGGTGGACAATAGCTCGGGACCCTGCCCCTCTTGAGCGTTTCCCCCGATTCAGAACCAACCAACCAACCACCTCTCCCAAGCAAGGCCTCCTCCCGGCGTCCGCCGGGCTTACCTGGTCCGAGCTCGGGGGGGCGCTCCGGCCGGGCAGCTCCACCGGGCCCGCGGAGCCGCGAGGGGGGTCGGGGAAGGGGGGTCTGGGGAGGGGGCTAGCCGGAATGTACGGAATGAGCCGGGCCGGAGCGGGAGGCGCCGGGCGTGGAGGAGGGAGCGAGCGGGACGGAAAGTTTGTGTTGAGGAGCCGGGCGGGGGTGGGGGCTGCGGGAAGGAGGGGGCGGGGCGCGCAGGGGGCGGGCCCAGGCAGCGAGGGGCGGGCCCGCGTGGAGCCGCCGCCTGCGCTCGCGCTGTCCACTCGGCGCCCGCGGGACCCGGGGCCGCTCTGGCCTCTCGCGCCTGGGCGCCCTGYTCCTCGCCCGGCGGCGCGGCGCCCCCCACCTCCCACCGCACACCAGCCTCACCCTTCCCCAGTACCCCGCCGGAATTTGGGGCTCCGGCCTGGGGCGGTGCCGAGGGCGGAGCTGCCGCCTCCGAGGCTGGGCTCCCGTCGGTGTCCGGGGCCTGGGGTGCCGCGTCACGAGGAGATCGGCGGAGCCGGAGCGCGCGGGCCTCGGGACTCCCCACCCCTCCACCSGAGTCCTGAGCCGCCGAGGCGGGCGCCCCCTCCCTCCCGAGAACCCGCCCCCCACTCCCGGGGCCCCAGACCCGGCTCCGCCCTGGCGACTGCGCCCGCCCTGCCCGGACCCGGTTTGTCTGGTTCTCCCCGAGTGGCTTGTTTCTCGAATTTCTCCCTTTCTCCCTCATCCCGGACCGCCGGGGCCCTCCCTCTCGGCCCGCTCCTGGGGGCCCCCCGCGGGGGGCATCTCGACACTGCCCGCCCTCCGAGTTTCGGTAGGACCCGCGACGGCGGGGAGGAGGGGACGCGGGAGCGCCCGGGGCTGAGGCGGGAGCGGGGCGGGGAGGAGGCTTTCAGCCCGCCCTCCGGACCTCTCCCGCGCTGCGGACCCTCCCGCCCCCGACTCTCCGTGCGCGCCGAAGAACCACCGCTGCGCTTGGCCTGGCACGCGACTTTATTGGAGATGTGGGTACCTGGCCCTCGTTACCCGCCACTGCCCCCTCCTCCGAACCCGCCCCAGCTCCTCCGAGCCCTAGCTTGGTCCCAGAGGGGGTTAAAACAACACTGACTACTGCTCCCGGACAGGAAGTGACTGGGGCGCGGGGAGGAGGGGGTGAAGCAGCGCAGGCGAGCTCCGCGACCAGATGTGCGGCTCCAACTCCAGATGTTCTTCATCTCCATCCCAGCCGCCGTCTGAGCTCCGCCCGCTTCGGCCAGTGCCAGGCTGGGGAGCGGACCGAGGTCACCGAAAGACAGTGAGGGGTCAACCCCGGATAGGGGAGGGGCCTTTCGTGGGGGTTGTGGTGGAGGGACCCTGCCACCTTCCAMTGAATCCTTTCTCCCACGCAGGCGAGCCCTGAGGGGCTGCTGGGGTCATTCGCAGGCCAGCTTCCCATCGAAACTGGAGAGGGCGATGGCGAAGGCCTGTAGGGCGCACAGCGGGTACCGGTAGTCTAGGGTGAAGGCGTCCTCTGCCACGCGTCCGAATTGCAGCACGATATAGTCGGCTGTGGATACAAGACGGTGGGGKCGGACCCAGACCTCCTTGGACCCCCCATCCTGGCAGACAATGCTCTTAACATAGGGAGAAGTCTCTTTCCCTTTGGAGCGCCAATCCTCAACCAACCTCCACCCATCTCTCCATATCTCATCCAACCAGCACCACTTGTACTTTACCCTCTGTCACTGTAAGCCCCCAGGGACAGGGGCCCTGCCTTATCTGCTGCGGCCCAGAGCCATGCTGAAGGAGGCACTTTATCAAGAGCAGGACCCTGTCAACCTTAACCAAGCCCAGAACCCTTCCTTCCCAATTCCTCTGTTGTCTTTAGACCCTATTTCTTCTTCATATCCTTGGTCCCCAAGTCCCATGTTCGACCCCAGGCTCCCTTCCTTAACCAGTGGCCCCTCTCACCCACTCTCCCCTTGTGATCCCTGTTCCCAGCCCCAGTCTCAACACCTCCCCCAGCATCCATAGGGACAGGAAGTTGCTAAAAATACTCCCAAACCCTGGTCTGGTGGCAGACCAGGCTTCACCAGAAATGTGATCTGGAAAGCAGTCCCAAGGCCAGGGGACAGGTGACACTGGGCACATCCCCAGGAAGCAGTGGGGGATGGGGAGTTGCTTAGTGTTGGCCTAACCCTGTGAACCTGGAGTCCTTTGGGAGACACTGTCCTATCCCTAAACTTCCTCACCCTAGTGGAGACTTTTCCCCCAAGCTTGCAACAGGGCCATTTTCACTTAATTGTTTACCTTAAATCCTTAATTGTTATCTTTTGACCTCAATTAAGACATACAGTGGGCACTAAGAAATGCTGGTTTAATATTCCCTGCTCCAAAAAGGCAACCATTTTGAAGAGGGTTAAGGGCATGGGCACTGGAGACAGACTGTGAAGGCTCTAATCCCAGGTCTACCTCTTACTAGCTGTTTGAACTTGGGCAAGTTACTTAACTTCTCTGTGCCACAGTTTTCTCATCTGCCAAATATAGATAATAATAGTACCTTCCTCATGGGGTTGAAAGGATATAATGATGCAATATTTGCAAAATCCCAAGAACAGTGTCTGGCACATAGAAAGCACTGTGTCATTTTGGTGAAATAAATTTTGAGGGCCAGTTTAATTGCCTGGAAGAACTGAGAGACTGGGAAAAGGGCTGCCCTCTCTGAGCCTCAGCCCTCTCTTTGACCACAAAGGGGTTGGGCTCTTGGTGGTTTTCAAACTCCAGCAGCTCAATGYTCCCTTCAACACAGTCTTACCCAGAATGTCCCAGAACCTACCCCAGAGTTCTGGTCAATGCTTGAACAAGAACCTGGAACAGTAAACCTCAAGACAGCTGGTGCAACATCTGAGGTTCCTGGGAGTGCAACGTGACTGCTYGTGGAGGAGAGAGACCGTGCTGGATATTTCAGCTACAGGCTTGAGGGTGAGAGTCAGGCTAATATGTGGAGGGAGAGGCCTGGGCGGGGGTCCTGGTCCTAGGGATGCTGGGGAACAGCCTGCCCTGGCCTGCAGATACTTACGGTCATCAGAATGGATGATCTGGAAGTTCTTGACCGAGGCCTGAGTGACCCGGCCTTGAAAGTTGAGTGTGTAAGAGCCACTGTCTTCATTCCAGACAGGTGGCTTGTTGTGCAGCTCGATGAGACTCTCCAGGGTCTTGTTCTGCCAGCGTATCAGCAGCCCATCGCTGGCCTGAGAGCCAGGAGTGAGGTAGGGGAGAGCAAACAAGGAGAGGATGGTTAGAGCTGGCCGGGATAGCTTGGTGCTGACCCCTGGCAGGCCACAGGTGTGCAGGCTGGCCATTGATGTCCAATCAGGGTGTTTTAGAGCATGCTTGGCACCAGCAGGGCCCTAGTGGCCAGGGTGCACATCCGTGAGAATGGGGTATGTCTAAGGGGGTGCCCAAGTAGAGGGCTAGAGACTGGAAAAGGGCCCCTGGCACCCAGGTGTTATGTGCCATTGGTGCCTGAGGGACCTTGGAGATGGCCACAGGCTGCCATCCATTACGGGGATAAACCGAATGTTCTAGAACCTTCAAGGAAAGCACAGTTGAGCTTGGTAAGATGGACAGGTAGACAGTGGCCAAAAAGAATGTCCTTGGGGCTGGGGATGTGGCTCAAGCGGTAGTGAGCTCGCCTGGCCTGCATGCGGCCTGGGTTTGATCCTCAGCACCACATACAAACAAAGATGTTGTGTCCGCCGAAAACTAAAAAAAGTAAAATATTAAAAAAAAAAAGAATGTCCTTGGAGGAGAGTTTCTGAAAGGAAGGAGCAGCCTCTGTAGGACAGTGCTTGTGAGATGGTCCTTTCCCAGTGTCCTTGTCACCTATTTGGGGTTCAAGATCACCTGTTACAAGGAGACTTCTGAACCCCACTTGGAATTTAGGCACCTCATCCCTGAGTCCCTGTGGCTTCTTGCTCTTATGCTCCCTCTACGGCACTGGAACAGACAGACCTGGACACCCTGTTGTTGGAACAGGGTGCCTCACTCTCTTTCCCAGTGGCCTCTTGTGAGGATTCAGTAGGTTAACAGCACTTGGAGTGTTAGAGCACAGAGTGTTGTTTTAAATAAATACATTATTTACTGAGCAGTCAAACCACTATGTTGCGTTTGGATCTCTGGTACCCGGCACAGAGCACCCATTTAATAAATGATTGCAGGATGAGTAAACTGCACCTTTGGTTTTTACCAAGGCCAAACTAGATGTGGGTGTTGACCCCAGGCACAGAAGGGCAGCTGTGGGACCCATGTGCTGAGAACCTCAAGATAGAGCCTCTCACAGCTCGTGCCCCACAGCTCAGCCTGGGCTGGCTACGGCCTGGCTCTGGAGCAGGAGAGGATGTGGAGGGATCAGCTGACAGGGGTATTACTTTTCATTGTAAATGAGTAAAGTGACATCAGTATCCTGTGAGTATGGTACAAGCCAATCACTCTGAAATCCTGGACTCACCAACTTGTAGAGTTCAGGAGTAGAGCCCAGAATTGGCAATCTCCAGGACAGCTCTCCCCCCAGCCCCACACAAAACAACCTCTGCTTTTAAAAATATGCCATGTCATGCCTTTGCTCAAAACCCTTCCTACTTCTCTCAGCAAAAAACCAGTTAGGCACCTCTCTCCCTGTAGGCCCTCTGCCCTCATCCTCACCTCTGACCTCAGGTCACTCCAGCCAGCTAGCCACTCCYCAAAGCAGGCACCCTGTGCCTCAGGGCCTTTGCACTGGCTCTTTAGATGCCCTTCCCCCAGATATCTGCTGACTTGCTCCCTCACCTTCCAGAGTGCTTAGATCTCATCTTAATGAGGCCCTCTCCAACGATCATATTTGATATTGAAAACTTAACACCCACACTTGCTATCTCCCTTTTTTCCACTATCATGCTCATKTATCTCAGTTATTGTCTAGTGGCTGCTTCCTTCCACCACAATGCCAGCTTCCAGGGGCACTTCTTCGTTTTGTCCACGGATGCCTTCCAGGTACCTAGAATGCTCCATGCCACTGCTCCATGCTACTTGTTATCTGTCAACTCTGTGAATATGAGTGGACGATTTGATAACACCTTGGAACACTCTGTGTGGTCCTGTCAGTGAATTCAATTACAAAGAACCCGGATTCATTTCACAGTTGCAGAAGGAGTTTGTGCTGAGGTTSGTGTGTGTATCAGGGGATTGGGTGCTGGGTCCCCTCCTCCCTGTTTCCCCAGAGGGGGGGCCGCATAGGGAACAAGACCTTCCAGGGCCAGGGTCCAGGGGATGCTGGGCTCACATTTCGGGGCCTGATGGGGACCCTCTCGTTTTCTGTATTCATGCCAGGAATGATGACCGTCATGCGCCGGGGACCTCGGAAGCCCAACACGTTGGTTTCCTGGGAGGGAGATGCCCGTTAGGCCGGCCCCCTGCAAGAGGAGGAGCCTGGCGTGGGGACAGGAGGAGTTCTCACATAGATCACAGCTGCCAGCTCCTGCCGAAGGCGCCCCAGGTCAGTGCTGCTTCCTCCCCGCTGTGGGTTCTGCCCGTTGTCAAAGACGGTGAAGCGGTTCCCTAGGAGGTTGGACCTGCAAGCAAGGTGGACCTGGAGGCCAGGCTGGAGGCATTCCACATCCTGCCCCACAGCCTTCAAGTTTGGAGAGCAAGGGTGGCTTTTTTTAGGACTGAGAAATTCATGACCCTACCCCAGGCCTCCCCSTCTGGGGGGTGGTCTTTTCAAAAACTGAATCTATAGGAAGACTGAGCAGTATTCAGATCCCAGCTTCCTCTTTTACACTGGCTGTGTGACCTTAGGCAGACAACTTAACCTCTCCAAGCATCAACTTTTCCATCTAGAAAATGGACATAACGCCCATATTTCCCTGGCTGGGTGCAGGGGCCCACAGCYACGATCCCAGCCACTCAGGAGGCTGAGGTGGGACGAGAGCCTGTGCCAACATTTTTAAAAGGGCTGAGAATGTGGCTCACTAGTAAAGTGCCCCTTAGTTCAATCCCCAGTACCACAAAAAAGTAAATAAATGAATATTTCCCCTCCTTTTGTTGATAAAAGGATGAAATGACTTAATATCGGGAAGGTGCTCAGGTTATACCTGCTGCGTTCCTAGGCCTTATGTAAGTTTTTGTGAAATGCATAAACAAGCAACAAGGCCTCACTTTCCAGTGCCCCCCTCCACACTTGTGGTCAGGGTGGATGAGCAGCTTAAGGCCTTTGTGCGCTTTCCTTCACCCAGGGATGCTAGGTGAGTGGCTACTGCAGGCCAGGTGCTGGACATTCAACCACTAACAGGACACGGTGGTCCCTGCCCTCCTGGAGAGGAGCAGGGGTGTGGACGTCACCTGGGGACTCACTAGAAAAGGAGTGCCTGGGGCTCACCCCAAACGCCCTGAACCATGGGGCCACTGCTGRCCACAGTGACTGCCTACGGCCCCCTAGTGACCTGACGGCCCCAGCCCCAGGAAGCCAGCCCACCTCAGTTTCCCAATGAAGTTCTCCCCTCCTCTGGACAGGTTGGTGGGGTCGCTGGAGATGAGGTAATTGGCGGTCTTGCTCCGCTTGCGTTTCCTGCCAGCCAAGAGGAACACCTGGGAGGGGTGAGGGCCGAGGATGAAGGGAGGACAGGGCGCCTGGGGACAGCGAGAAGGCCCATCCGATCCCKGCCCGACCCTCCCTCGGCCCGCTCTCCCTCCTGCCCACCTTCCTGTCGGCGTCCAGGTGCAGGAAGTAGGAAGGGTACATGCCCTTGTCCATGCCCCTCTTGTCCCGGGTCAGCCGGCAGCGCACCGTCCGGCCCTGGGGCGCGGGCCGCAGCACGAAGGTCTGGGGGTCGTCCACCTGCAGCGGCGGGGACGGCGCCCGCTCCTCCTTCTGGGTGGGCAGAGGGTGGCTCAGCCCCGGGCCGGCGCCCCCTCAGCAGCTCCCGGGCGCTGGGACGCGGGCAGGGCCGGGGGACCACTCACCGCTTTCTGTGCGGGGAGAAGAGTCAGATGGAGCACCGGGACAGGAGCCAGGACCCACCGCCCTGACCCTGAGCCCCGCGCACCGCGGCACCGGGGCTTYGTGCTTCCTTGTTATCTGGCTTAGCTTGTGGCTCAGAGCCCAGCCCCTGGAGCTGGACAGCGTGGGTTCGAATCCTGGGTCACCCCCAACCGCCTGTCCTGTTGATAGTCTCCTTTCCTTTTTTCACATTAACTGTGTAACAGGGAACTAGTACCAAGGTTTCAGGGACCTCACACGGTGGGGTGAAATTCCAGTCATCGCCCTCACGAACCACAAAGGATCTGGGATATATGTTTATTATTACTATTATTATTATCATTTTGGTACTGGGGATTGATTGGACCCATGGGTGCCTAACCACTGAGCCACATCCCCAACCCCCTTTTTAAAACTTTTAGTTTGAGACAGGRGCTCATTAAGTTGCTTAGGGCCTCACTAAATTGCTGAGGCTGGGTTTGAACTTGCAATCCTCCTGCCCTCGGCCTCCTGAAGAGCTGACAGGTGTGCACCRTCAAGYCTGGTTATCAGAGACTTTAGACAGATCTTCCCTCTCGAGGACACTGCATCAGAGGGGTGAACCGAGGCTGAATGGAAGCACAGCCGTGTCCTCCCCATGCACTGTCCATGGGTTAGCTGCTGCCATTMTTGGTAGCACAGAGCAAACACTCAGTGGATCTAGTAGCCCACYTCCCAGATGGCCCCGGTGATTCCTGCCTCCTAGTATTTATATTCTTCTCTAGTCTGCTCCCACAGTGTGTCAGGGTTGGTCTTTGTGACTAATAAAACATGGCAGAAGTGAAGGTGGGTCACCTGCAAGCTGGGTCACATCAGATATTCTGGCCTCTGCCTGCCTTTTTTTGTTGGGCTCTGGGAGAAGTCGACTGCCATATCATGAAAATAGCAGCTCCGGGGAGAGCTCAAGTGGAGAGGAACAGAGGCCTCCACCCAACACCACGACAGTGAACCATTGTGGAAGTACACTGTCCACTTCCAGGCCAGCTCTAGAGGACCACAGCTCCTGCTGACACCTTGACTGCAACCTTATGCCAGACCCTGTGCCAGAACTGCCCTGCCAACCCCCTCCCATATTTCTAACTCCCAGAGATTGCATAAGAAAATAAATATTTCTTGTTTGAAGACAAAGTTTTGGGGCAATTTGTTACATGGCAATACCTAGCTAATACATGATGCGTGAATATGCTCACTTTGCTCTTGGGAAAACTCCCAATAACATTCGGTTACATAAGGCCCTAAGGTGGGCTGGTGGCCCCACAATGGTCACTTCTGTTCTCACAGACCTGGTGCCCTTTGTCTTCATGTTCTATCGGAGGGGAGCCAAGATTCTAAGCCTAACTTGATGGAACATCTAGGGGGAAAACAGACTACCAGCATGGTGTGTGCGCTTGAGGATTAAATGCTGTGTGTRACCCACTCAGAAGCCCGGGTGTGCCATGGCTGGCCATTTCTACTGAGGGCAGATTTGCCCTGTGTGAGGTGAGTGTGGTGGAGCAGTGGGCCCTTAGCCAGAGGGCAAACAACCTTCGACTCTCCACTCCATCCTGCTTCAGAAGAAACTTGGGAAACACAAGACTATGTTTGGTATGTGATGTGGAGAAAGCCAGAACTTATTCAAATACTTCCACAGCTGTGAATTTCAAGGGCCTACTGCATTGAAGGCTATTCTGCAATTATACTGCCCCTGGGAGATAATAAATTGGCCTTTCAGTTTATACATCAGCATCTGGCCATCTTGGTTAATGTGAATCAGTCCCACAAGACCTGACCACTCCCGCACAAACTAATAAACCCACAAAGCTAAGACCAGGGCCGTGCTCTCTCCACTTGTGTAAACCTGTTCCTCAAAGACTTTCATCTTTCATCACTTTTTTTTTTTTTTTTTGCTGTTGTTAAACCTCCCTCTCCTCTTTACTCCAGCTGAAATGTATTGGTACCTGAGTTCTGTTTGTGGGCAGGGGCAATATCCAAAGTTCTGCCTGTGGAGAATGCCCAGTCCCTGGTAAGCTTGGGGGAGAAGCTTGGAGGCCCAGGATAACCAGGCRTTAACTCTTTAGTTGCTGGATTGTTTAGATGGTGGGAGGTCCTGGGGAGGGAACTCAGARCAACGGGGTGGAAATAACTGGTACAGCCAGTTGAGTGTCAGCCGCTCCATGTGCCCGAAGGTGTGTACCAATGTGACCCTCTGACTGTGTGCTCACCTTCTTTGTACTGAAAAATGTGTGTCTCTTCACAAGGCCCTATGGAGACGTCTCTGTCGGTGTGTTGGCAAAGGGGAGGCCTCAGACACCAGACGACATAAGGCMTTTGGGTGGTCAGTCCTAGCCTGGTGACCCCACAAATGCCTCCCCTGGTCTCAGAAGCTTGATGTCCTTTGTCCTTGTATCCAGTCCCAAGGTGGGGGACAGGATTCCAACTCCGAGTGAACCCAAGACCCCAACCCACAAGGCCCCACRCTCTAGGTCCCCCAGGACCTGCCACTCCTCCCTGAAGGGTCCTTGGCCCTCCCTTGCTGGGCTCTAACCTTCTTGCCTCTTCCTTTGGCCTTGCCCTTCTGATTGCTGTTCTTGGGTACTGCGGTTGCCACCTCTTCCTCCTCTTCTTCCTCCTTGCCCTCCTCTGCTGGGCCTTTGGGCAGGCCTGGGCATGAGAGAAAATGGCTGTGAACTCCTTACCCTGGTTCTCTGAGGCCTTCCAAGACCGGGGCTCACTTGGACCCTCCCCACAATGAGAAGGTCCACCCCATGTTATGATCAGAGCCTCAGAAAGCCTGAGGCACTGCCTGGGACCACACAGCTCTCAAAGTGGGTGATCAAGAAGCGCCCTAAATTTTCTGACTCTCAGACCCACACGCGTCACCTGTGCTGTACCACATGACATAAATGTTCCCAGCAGCCCACCTCTGGGACAGCCTCAAGATGTCATGGCACCAGAGGCCACTGCTACCCACCTTTCTTCTGCAAAGCTTTCTCCGCTGGGCCATCTCCCCCAACTAGAAACATGGCGGCTGGGTTCTTCTTCCTCACTCTGGCTGGACTCTCTGAGGGGTCCTTGTCAGCCTCTTCAGACCCTGCACAGTGAGCAGGCTAAAGGGTCACAACCCCCACCACATCACCAGCCCCTGCACCTCCTTGGGTGGGCTCACCTTTCTTCTTTGTCTTTCTGGTCCTGGTCCCCTCCCCGGCTTCCTTCTTAAGGCGAAGAGGTTTCCGAGGGGCGTCAGGGCTTCCAAGGTCCCCTGGAAAYGGAAGATGGGGGCTAGGAAAAGAAGGCGCCTCATGGGGCTGAAGAACTTTCCTCTTCCTTCCTCCAGTTCCTGAGGCCTGACGGGGGCCTGCAGCCTCTGCTAGTCCATGTCCCCCACCCCCCAGTTCAAAGAAGCAAAAACTAGGAGCCTAACTAGAAGTTACCACATGAATAGATGAGAGCATGTACACACACACACACACACACATACACACCAGGCCCTTTACCTGAGCTCCTGAATCCTGCTGTCCCACCTTCTCCTCCAGGAAACCAGCTCAGGCCGGAATCCCTAGTCCTCTGATTCTCCCCAGAGGCCCAGGGTTCTTACTGTTCTAACTGCCTGATCCCATGTGGGTCAGACTCCAGGCACCTTCAGGCTGAGGCACCCAGGTCAGGAAGCCATGGCAGCATTTATTGATTGATTTTTTTTGGTGGGGGAGCATCGGGGGATTGAACTCAGGGGCACTTAATCACTAAGCCACATCCCCAGCCCTATTTTGTATTTTATTTAGAGACAGGGTCTCACTGAGTTGCTTAGGGCCTTGCTAAGTTGCTGAGGCTGGCTTTGAACTCACGATCCTCCTGCCTCAACCTCRGAGCCACTAGATTCACATGCATGTGCTAAGGTGCCTGGGTCATTGATTTCTTTTTACTGCTATCACTTTGATACTTTTATAAAACATTACAACCCTCATTCACATTGAGTTAAGGAAAAAAAAAACAAACAGGGCTGGGGCTGTGCCTCAGAGGTAGAGAGCTCACTTAACATGTGTTAGGCACTGGGTTGGAGCCTCAGCACCACACAAAAATACGCAAATAAAATAAAGGCATTGTGTCCATCTACAACTACATTTTTTTTTTTTTTAAACAAGTATCCTGGGCAGAGGACAGGGTAGGGGTGTGTGTGTGGGAGCACATAATGATCTATATCCTTAAGGACTGTGGGGGAAGAAACTCTGAGGAAGAACCCTCCTGTGAAGCTTCTAGTCACATTTGAGGTTCAGCCTGCATGTGGGTGAGCCCCAGCCCTCAGGCTAGCCCACCTTTGCTTGCCTCTGCCCACAGCACTCAGTACCCACCCCTTGGGCCCTGGGCCTTGGACTTCCTTTCCTTCCTGTCTGCAGAAGCCTTCTTTGGGGGTTTCTTAGCAGACAGAGGGGTCCTCTCTTTCTTTCCTTCTTCCTCCTCTTCCTCCTCCTCCTCCTGGTCTTCCTCTTCATCCTCCTCTTCCTCATCTGTAGATAGAATTTCCTCATAATGGGGGCTGGGCTGCRGTGGGCCCCCTTTGTCTGGGAAGCCTAGATTGCTGGGAAGGGGTGAATGGGCACCTTGAGGTCTGGGACAGGAGGTGCGCTGGCATCCTCCTGGAAGAATGAGGGGGGCCTCCAAATCCCCAGGTCTRCAGGTCGGGAGGGTGGGCTTTGGCTGTAGGATGCTCTTCTGGGAAACCCGCTCTCTCTGCAAGTCCTTCCTGACTCCCTTCCACTCCTCTCTCTTCCCATTTCCCTTTCTCCGCTCCCTTCTCACTGGGTCCTCCTCTTCTGTTTGTCCTTGTCCCCACTCTTCCTGAACCCCCAGTCAGTGCCATTTGGGCTACTTCTGGCTCCTAGCTGTTAATTAAGGCAAAACTCTTAACCTCTGCGGGTCTCAGTTTCCCCACCTGTAAAATGGGGAAAATAATAAGAGAATCAACCTCAGGAGGTCGGTGCTTAGCACCTCCCGGGCTCAAAGTCAAAGCCAGAGCACAGAAGGCTGTTTCCACTTGTTTTCTGGGGTGCTCCCGCCCAGCCCCTTCCCTCACCAGCCCTCCCCTCACCAACCCTCCCCTCCAGTCCTCTCACCGTCCTCGGACTTTGGGGCCCGGGCTACCAGGAAGGTTTCCCGGGGGTCGCGCTTCTTGGCCTCGGGGTCCCTGAGGAACTTGGCGTAGACCGTGGGCTCCGGGGCGGCCTCCTCCTGCGGCCTCCGCCTCCGCCCAGCTGGGCCGAAACACCGGGCTCAGAGTCGAGGCGCTGGGTGCCCAGCGCGGGCTCCGGGTGCCATTCCCACCTGCGGCAGCTTCCCGCTGCCCCTGGTCTCCGGGTCCCCTGTCCCCCCGRGTCTCCCTCGCGTCCCCAGGGCGTCTCGGCCCCGCCCACCTGCCAGCCTCCGCGGCTTGGAGCCCGGGGCGCCGGGGGACGCGGGGGTCTCGGGCTTCTTCTTCCTTAACTTGGGTCCGGGGGCGGGTCGCTGTGCAACGGGGGTCAAGAGGCGGCGAGGAGGGAAAGGGGGGCTCCGGGGCCGCCCATCACCCTCTAATCCCTTGAGCCGCCAGAAATAACCGCGGATTATCCCGAGGGGACTGCAGCCCCTTCCTGGGTGCCGAGGGGCTGCCGTCCAGGCCCCAAGGCCACTTCCAGGGCCACGGCCCCGCGCCTCCCCGACGCCGCCTSCCCCGCAGCACTCTCCGCTCTCCCCCCGCAGAACTCCAGATCGGGACCCCCTCATCCTGCGGAGGGCGCCCCCCACCGCCCCGCCCAGCCTGCTCCGGGTACCTCGACGGGGCTTCCCTCGGTCCCCGTCCTAGGGGGGCGACATACCTGCTTGGCGCGCCGCTGCACCTGGGGGCTTGGGCCGTCCTCCTCATGCCCGCTGAGGGTGGCAAAGGGATCGGACCGTCCCTGTCCCTTTCCTCCCACCCCCGCCCCTCCACTGGCCCCGGGGTCAGCGCGGGCTGCGGGCTCCCACCTGTCCGAGGCCCACACCTCTCGGAGGGTGTCGTCCTGCAGCGGCATGGCGCTCTGCCTCCGCACCTGCTCTGGGCGCCGGCCGCGGCACCTCCGCTGCCACCCGCTAATCCCGGCTCAGCTTCACCCCACCTCACGCTGCCGCCCTGTGGGAGGGGCTCCGGCCACCAGGCCCCCTCCCCCCGGTCGCGGCCACCGAGCCCAGAGGCCGCACAGGCCCAGCTCCCTCGTTTTCTGAGACCCCCCCCCAGCCGCCTAAAAACCTAGGTACCCCCCACTCAGGAGCTTTGGGTTCAAGGGGCCGATTTGTAATTTGTCAGTGATCAATTCGGCCAACCAGGACAATATTGGACCAGATCCTGTGTTTATCTTTATTTCTCTTAAAAAAAAAAAAACAAGAACAAGGGCTGGGGCTGGGGCTCAGTGGGAGGGCGCTCACCTACCACGTGTGAGGCCCTGGGTTCCAGCCTCAGCACCACAGAAAAATAAAYAAATAAAATAAAGGTACTGTGTCCAAATACAACTAAAAAAATAAAAATAAGAACAAGGATTTGCAAGTATWTAATATATGATTTCCAGAAGCACGTGTATGATTGTGCCTATATTGGGGTGTAAACCTAATTTTTTTTTTCTGATAGGGGACATGTCTTTCTTAGAGAGTTGGAGTCCAGGGATAGTATTGGTGAGATTAATGTCGTGGGAGAGGTTTGGTTAAGTGCGGAGAAAGCTGAGGAGGGGCCCAATCAAAGGTCCCAGAAATTTTCTGAAGACTAATTAAAAAGGGGGGGGGGGSGGGGRGGGCTGGGATTGTGGCTCAGTGGTGCAGCACTTGCCTGGAGTGCGAGGCCCTGGGTTCGAGCCTCAGCACCACATAAAAATAAATAAACAAAATAAAGGGATTTTTTAAAAGTATAAAGTATATATTTTTAAAACATCGACCAGGAAAGGGTACAGCAAGACACAGACTGTGTCTATATGACTGAGGAATAACTGTGTGTGCTTAAAGGTGTAGGTAGCCATAGGGGGAGGCAGCCATCTCAGGCATGGGTAAGTGCTGAGCCCAAGCTCTGAGCCCTGCCCCTGAAAAGCTGAGCATCCTTGGGTGAGATACTTGGCTTCCCTGAGTCTCCATTTCCTCCTTTGTAAGTGGATTTTCTAGTACCAGCCTGGTAGTGAAATTGTGTAGATAAGGTGAAATAACAGGTGGAAAGCTGCATACAGTAAGCATTCAATAATTGGTGCGTGCAGAGCACTTCTACTTCATCTCTATCTCATAGCATATATCACACAACTTGACCAGGGCTCAATATTTTAATGAGTGTCTTCTTTTGTTCATGTGATTCTCATGGGAGTCCTGTGAGGTGGGTAGGGTAGAAATGATCCTGGTGGAGACCCTGAGGCTCAGGGAGGTGAACTGTGCTCAGTGTCAGCTAGAGAGTTAGGTTGCTGGATTTGAATGGATCCTAATCTAGATCTGTGTCCTGTGGGAGCTTTTGCTTCTAACCCGTGCATATAATCACAGGGATCAGAGATGGATTTTGAATGAAAAGCTGATGCTTTTTCACTTCTTAGTTCACTTGATTTGCCTCATCTTTCTAAGATACTACTTCTTCCTTTGATTCCTTTTCTTTATAATTATAATTATTATTATTTTTAAGGTGGACACAATGCCTTCATTTTATTTATTTATTTATTTATTTATTTATTTATTTATTTTTTTGCTTTTTAGTTATAAAATTTTATTATTTTAGCAACAATAATGTGTATTCATTTTAGGAATATGGAAAATACAAACAAGCAGAAGATTGTATTCATAATCTCATCACTGAAACTGAACTTTTTTTTTTTTTTTTTTTTTTGCAGCACTGAGAATTTAAC